CTCGCCTCGTGGTTGATAGTGCGCGAAAGGCGATACGGTGTTGATCCCTTTCCGAGTTGATAAGTCTGCTATGATATCTTCCCATTGAATATCAGAAAAAGATACTAAAGAACAAAATGTGCGAACATCAGGCCTCCCCAACCCATCTAGATTGTTCCCTAGAACTAAATTAAAACAATATCAAACTCAAAACGCTAAAATCTTGGAAAATTAATGAGGAATTCCAACAACGTCAAATAAATCCAATAACGGGATACCGTTGACGTTGATACCGTTATTTTAATTTACCGTTACCGTTGATGAAGCGATGGAGGGCAGTTGGAGACATTGAGCGACTTTTAATTAGGAAACTTGTGCCAATTGAATTTTCACCCTCGGGGTGGGGCCACGAGAGGGGCGACCTAGTTACAAGGGTTAGGATTCGTCAGGGGAAGGTTATTGCGTTTTTATATTCAACACTTAGTTCCTTGTTGCTGGACGTGTGTGATAAAAGAGGCACCTGCTAAAAGTTACAAAGAATGCATTTTTAAGCTACATTTTGTTTTCGATTTTTTTCATTAGATATCGTTAGTTCTTTCTTTTTTAAATCCTGATAAATTACAGTGTAATGTATAATAAACTGTTGGTAATTCCGATCAATGCATTTAAAACTAGATTCTTCTTGTATTTGAGTCATGAACAGATAGATGGCTATTTTACTGAGCTTGATCTTGTTTCAATAACTGGTTTGTGTAGTAAACTTACATCAAACTGTTTAAAAAAGTTTAAAAGATCTGTTAACTGTTCACTGTATAAAATAAACAATGTCCCTTTAGCGTGCCATATTTTTTCAAAACGTTACTTGTTAAAATCTAACAAGTTAAAACTCCCGTAAACGCAAGATTACCTCTTAAGCCAGCAAATACGTCTAACCACTTTAAATTGACTCAAATAACTGGTATCGTTACAACTGCAAGCAAACCCACGAAGGCATGCTCGTATTCACATCCCACAAACGTTTACCGGTATAACGTTATTCGTTATTGGAGATCGCGGGTCTTAGCTGATCTGTTCGTACGAAACTATTTTAATTGTGAGCGCTCTGTTGGTCTGAGCGGGAACTAGTTATAAACGGTAGCGGATAAGTTTTTTGGACTTTAAATAATATGCCAATCATATTAATGAACTATTATAGTCAAGCGTGGGGTACCGGGTAATCCCCACAAAACTACAAAACCCTCCAATATAGTGGAGGAGGCGCATAGTCCAGCAGTGGACTGTAAAGGGCTGTTGATAATGATGATGATGATTAATTAACTAGTCTTCACCAAACTTGTGACGGTAGCCGAATGGTGAAAGGTAGGACTGGATGCCTCGATCCGAGAAACGCTGATTCAAACCCCGCTCGACTATTGTGGTGAACCCCTCGTAACACGTATGCATAATTATTAGCTTAGTACGAGCAGTTAATGAGACTATAAGTAACTAATTTGTGCAGTAAATATTACTAAAACTAAAGCTTACACAACTTTGTACGCATGAAAATCGTTTGAGTTTTTGTCCGTTTTCGTAATGTTTTTCATTGATACTCCTCTCCAATTTGACATGATGTTAAGCCTTCCTTGATAAATGAGCAATCCAGCTCCATTTGTCTCTGGTGATTTAGAGAGGGTCGTGCTCCTGCAGTGGGGACTAAATGACCTGATGATGATGACACTTGTAGACCGGTTGAACACTTACTTTTACGGACGAAATGTGGACTGTATTTATGAGTTTGAAATGATAAAATGTTTCGCTATCGACAAAATATTATACTATTAAAATGCTTAGTTTATCAACAAACAGCAAAGTATAAAGTTGACACTGACACAATAAGGCTGAGTTGCACCACCTAACTTTGACCGTAACTATAACCGATGTATTTTGTATGAAGTTTGACAGATTTTTGACGTTTGTCAAAGTTAAAGTAAGATGGTGCAACTCAGCCTTACAATTTGGTTTTTACAAATCTATAGACTGAAAGAGTATGAAGATGGAATATAGTTCGCAACACTTACTTTGCGCTTTGTGTTCCAAAGTCGCAAGTATCAAAATTACCGCATTGCGCTATCTCTCATGCCTTGTACACTACCGCATAATCGGTATCCATCCCGGTGAGTGCTAATTCCCGGAATCCTCGTGAACTCACTGAAGATTGGAAGTTTATAAGTCTCTAGCCGGAAAATTGGGAAATTTTCTCCCTCTACGATGGGAAAGTCGCGTTTTGACGGCTCTTAAAAAGTATGTCACTATAGTGTGTCTAGTACCCTACTCAGTTTTTGCGTGTAAACAAACGTATAGATCATTTCATCCACAAAGACGCGCCCCGCCAATTTTTGGTCGAGTGAAGCGCGGGGTGCGGGGAGTTTGATCCGTGCAATCCGAGCGGCATTATTGTAGTGTGCGTGTGCACTCATGGATTTAGCGTGTACCGATAACACTCAGACATTAGCGCAAGAATGGTGGGGCGCGTCTTCGTGGATGAAACGATCTTAACATACATTCTCATCATAAATATCTAATACTAGAGTAATAAATAATTGAGATGTTTATTTCCTAAACATTTCAAATTGAAAGCTTAATATTTTTCAACTTCTTATCTACCTCTATCAGTCTCTGACTGAACATATCAATATCTGTATGGTTTCATAAAAACCTGGTTATTTAACTTATTTAAATAAACTACGATGTTTTATGCCAATATGTCACGCTCTACCACACATATTAGTAAGCCAAATATGGGGATTGACACAGGCAATAAATAATATGTTAATAGTTGATTAATATGTTACTGGAGTGGATGTATATGAATAATTTCTAGGAATTAGTCCGGACGTTTGTGTAGGGAAGAGTTTATTTTATATTAAAAGAAATTGATGGAAAATATGTGTTGCAAGTATAATAAAAGTATCAGTAACTTATTAGTAACTAGCTTTTCGCCCGCGTGGAATTTCGTCTGTCACAGAAAAACTTAATCGCGCGCGTCCCTGTTTCAAAAACCGGGATAAAAACTACCCTATGTCCTTTCTCAGGACTATCTCTATGCCAAATTTCATCAAAATCGCTTCAGTGGTTTTGGCGTGAAAGCAAGACAGACAGAGTTACTTTCGCATTTATAATATTAGTATAGATCTATGGTATTGGACTGATAATCATAATAATGATAATGATGATGATTATGATGAAGTGAAAGACTTACTATTTTGTAGTTTACGCTTTTGGATTTTACCAATCTGCAAATGCTAAAATTAAAACCGAACTTAGTGGCTCAAGTAAGAATACTACAGTAAAAATGACACTGTTTTAGTTGATTCATATATCTTTTAAACATACAAAATTCCTGACGTATATTGACGCGAACTACACAAAATGACGTCCAATAATTGTATTTGTATTGTAAATGACTATAATTAAATACTTGCTCAAGTACGCAACTTAAATGTTCACATCTTCGTTCAGTAATTGCGAGGGTACTAACAGAAAGCGCGGCAAACTTGTAACTGTCAAATGTGACAGGCCGCCATCTTGGATGCCGACGTGTTAACTCTGACTCCCTGATAATTACTGGGGCGATTAGTCAGAGGTTTAGCCCCTTGACTACATTTACACCGAAGCCAGACTATTTTCCCACCTCTCGTTCCCACTGCAACTCTATGCAAAACTATTCGCACCTCTCGTTCCCACCGCTGCAACTCCTGTGTAGCCAGGATCTACAGCTTGACCGCCAGTAACCCAACCAGCGAAGGTCAAGTTTGTCGCGGGGGAAAGTTAAACTGACATTGTACCCGCAACGAAATTAATTAGAAGAACATAGGAGATCGAAGTTTAGGATCGACATTCTTCTAAGAAAGGAGTAGCTATAGTAATAAGCCACGCAACATAACGTGGTACAGTATTATTTATCATCACACTTATCGTACAAAAGTAACATATTTGTATGTTTGCTTTATTAATCCACTCACAAAGTGGACAGACGACCTTATAAAGGTAGCTGGAATTCGCTGGATGCGCTACCAACCGGGCAATCTGGAAGTCATTGGGAGAGGCTTTATTCGTCCAAGGGAGAGGCCTATGTTCAGCAGTGAACGTCCTGTGACTGAAATGATCATGATGTTGATGATGATGAAATTAATGGTAGATTATTCACTGGAGTTAATTCAAATAGTTCAAAACAACGTTGTTCTGTACAGTCAGCGTCAAATAGACGTGACACCCAAAGTGGCCAAAAAGTTGACAAATACAACCTTATCCCAAATAACAAAGACGTGTTGCGAACTTTTTGGCTACTTTGGGTGTCACGAACTACATATTTGACGCTGATTACAATACGGATCTAAATGTTGTGTTCCCCAGTCGATGAAGAACATGATGTCGTGCCCTGCGTGCCCAAAAAACGATTTAATGAATGCTACTGACAACGCCACTCTTGTGGCGGAGTTTTGGGCTGACACTGTGTAGGTTTATTGTCTACGCAACAAAAAGAATAAGAACACGATACAGCACGGTGTTACAGGGTGACAGAAACGTCTTAAGGTAATGGAGGTCGATAATTAGTGAGCTTGTTCCAACAGGACTTCAGACGAAGTAATTCCTGCCTTTTAAGATAAGTTATGACGTAATGGAGTGCGAGCTGATAGGACAAACATAACAGCATCTATTACAAGCAACGAGAGCAATTGCGCTTGTATGTCAAACATAATTATAGTTTTTGCAACTCACGAAGGCGAGTGAGCTTTACTTATGTGCGTGTACAACCCAGAACAGACGGTGAAACGCAACTGCAACGAAACTGCAACTGCTAGTTACTTTTGAATTGCATCTAAGTTTCTGCCATAGCGTCCGTTGAGAGACCACACATGACGCGACCAGTTTGAAACTTTCAGTTTCAGTTTCATTCATCGGAATCATCAGAAAGTTGCAGTTTCGTTGCAGTTGCGTTTCACCGTCTGTTCTGGGCCTACGTGCACATAACGATTGTTAATCGTACTAACTATTCTAATTCTGTCGTATCAATAAAATGCAGTTTCAGAAACGTATTCCGTCTATTCTTCCTCAAGTGACATTAATAATAAAAAAGCGAACATCGAAAGTTAATAGACAATAAAAAAAACATAGCGTAAAAAAGTATACATATTTATCAAAAAGTGTCCATTCGTGGACATCCTCCCCTTTTTTAGAGGAGAACGATTTTCCTAAGTGGGCGCCGCAGGACTCCACTCGCTGTCCGAACATCTACCACCCTGACCACGCCGTCACGACCCGGAAACAGGGCCTCGACCACACCCCGAGGCCAGGTTCCCCTTGGTAGATCTCCGTCACCAATGAGAACAGGGTCCCCGACCTTAATCTGAACATCCACTCCCGGTACACGTCGTGGGGCCAGGGTTGGTAAATATTCCGACATCCAACGACGCCAAAAATGGTCCGCGAGACGGAGCGCCTTCCGCCAACAGCTCCTGCCCATCAAATCGGTATCGCAAAGCCCATCCGCAGGAAAAGGTTGGCCCGACGACCCGCCAATCAGGAAGTGGTTCGGAGTCAAAGCTTCGGGGTAGTCTGGATCTGGAGCTATATGCGTCAGAGGCCGCGAATTCAGTATAGCTTCTACCTCCGATAATAGGGTCATCAAAACTTCCTCTCGAGGATTCCGCTCCCGCAATGTCACCTTCAGCGCTGACTTGACACTTCGTACTAATCGTTCCCAGACGCCGCCCATGAATGGAGCCGAAGGGGGTATGAAGCGCCAGACGATTTTATTGGTCGCAGCGTAGTCCGAAACCGCAATATCGTAGAGGACCCGAAGTTGCCGACTTGCTCCAACAAATGACGTGCCATTGTCGGAGAAAATGACGCTCGGTGTGCCTCGACGCGCGATGAACCTCCGAAGACACATAATAGCCGCATCCGCAGAAAGGCTTGCAACGATCTCAAGGTGGATGGCTCTTGTAACCATGCACGTAAATAATGCCACCCAACGTTTTTCCTTCCTGCGACCGATGGCAACTTCAACTGGTCCAAAATAATCAATGCCGGTAAAAGTGAAAGGGCGCTGATGGTGAGCTAATCTTTCCTCCGGAAGATCTCCCATTGGAGGACAGAGCGTTGATCTCCGAAGCAGCTTACAAGTCTGACATCTATGTATGACCCACCGAACAGCGTTTCGTATGCCGAGAATCCAAAACTTCTGCCGCAGTTCATTAATGACACTCTCCGTGTTGCAATGAGCGAATTTCTCGTGGTAATGAAGAATAAGAAGGCGTACCAGTGGCTCTTTGCCATCCAAAATTACCGGTAGCTGCGCCAAAGTCGACGATGTTCTCCCCGCGAGGCACAGCAATCCATCCTTCAACACCGGGGATAGTGTGACAAGGCGGCTCTTTCTTGGCACGGGTTGGTGGCGCATCAGACAGAGCATTTCCTCTTGAAAAACGTTCAGCTGACTCCGAGCCAGAAGATGTCGTTCCGCACGCAGAATGTCCTCAGCTTTTAGCGGCAATAGGCAAGGAGCCGTGGCGGAAGGGGTCGAAGATTGAAAACCTGATCTTTGCGTTAAACAAATATCCCCAACCCAAAAATTTTGAAAAATGTGGTGGCTGACTCCCTGTCGCGGATTGAGGAGCTGGAACTGCCTGTAAACCTCGAGCATCTCGCCCAGGGTCGACGGCTCTTCTCTGCGGCTGGAAAAACTGCAATTACCCGGAAGTCGCGTTCCCCTGTATTGCGACGTCAGTACACCGACTTCCAGGCCTTATGTACCCAAATTCTTTCGCAAACAAGTTTTTGACAGCCTGCACTCCCTTAGTCATCCTGGCTGTAAGGCTTCCGCAAAACTGGTTTCCCAACGGTTTGTATGGCCCGGCGTCAGGAAGGACTGCAGCAACTGGGCGCGCGCTTGCATCCCTTGCCAACGTGCAAAAGTCAACCGGCACGTGACTGCACCGCTGGGATCTTTCAAATTACCCCAAGCGCGGTTCAAGGAAATCCATATAGACCTGGTAGGACCGCTTCCTGTCTCCGAAGGCTTCCGGTACTGCCTCACAGCCGTAGATCGGTTCACCCGTTGGCCAGAAGCCGTACCAATTGCGGATAATCGTACTAACTATTCTAATTCTGTCGTATCAATAAAATGCAGTTTCAGAAACGTATTCCGTCTATTCTTCCTCAAGTGACATTAATAATAAAAAAGCGAACATCGAAAGTTAATAGACAATAAAAAAAACATAGCGTAAAAAAGTATACATATTTATCAAAAAGTGTCCATTCGTGGACAACGATAGTGTAATGTCTATCAAAACTTTTGAAATGCGAACATTAGCGAGCCACCACACATGTAAAGCTCACTCGCCTTCGTGGATTGCAACAACTATACTCTTTTGCTATACTTATGGCCAGTTACACCGTCTCCAATAAGTTTCAGTTAGTTATTATAGGAAGTGGCACGGGAGGGGTGCATTGACATAGTTATGACGTGACAGAAAATACAAATCTGCCCCCCTAGACAAAACGCACATTTTGATCGAATCGAAAATCGAATCCGTCAAAACTCCATACAAAAAAGGGGCTTTTCGACCACTTTTCGACTGGTTTGCGATTATAATTTGCACTTTGTCTAGACCCACTGAAGTCTCGCTGACGTTTGACGTTACGAAAACACCCTACCTTGTCGCTGCCATACCTTAGGACCTAACTGATTTAAACGCAAGACTTATATTTTGGGACGCTTTAGACGAATGCTGCCCCCCTAGACAAAACGCACTTTTTGATCGAATCGAAAATCGAATCCGTCAAAACTCCATACAAAAAAGGGGCTTTTCGACCACTTTTCGACTGGTTTGCGATTATAATTTGCACTTTGTCTAGACCCACAGCTATGCCAATAAATGTTTTTTTCTTTCTTTGTTATTGGCCATTTGCAGAAAATAGATTTAACCACAGATCACAGAAACTAAAGGGAGATGTGACAAGGGGGCGTGGCCGGTGTCGCAGCAATATGCCCAAAAACGGAACACATTGCTGCAGACGTCATAATGTAAACAGTTTACATTACTTGCGTAGTACTAAAGATTATTCGAACGTTGAGTACTGATACCGCAGTGGATAATGAGCACATATTTTGATTACTTTGTGTGTATCAATTTCTAATGCGACACTGAGTTCCGAACTCAGCGCATTAGTTGGAAGGGAGAGGGCGCCACCGGGCGACGTAAACATTGGCTCCGTAAAAATAAATTTGTTAAAAATACATTTTCACACCTTTTACCGTAATTGTAGTTTAAATCGTGAGGTTTATATTTGACTATCATGTGTGAGTGTTATCTAGTGTATTGCTGCCAGTAATAAAGTGTTATAACAATACAAACTAAATTTGGACAGAGTGACACTAATTAAACTGATAATTGGTTATAGAGAACATTTTTAGTTGCAAGAGCATCAGTGATCTGCGTAATCAGTGTCGTAATAACATCAAGCACCGATATCGCCAAACATTTTCAAGGATTTTGATACATAATTTAAAAACCGTTATTTTGAATGTGTAAACAAACAGTGCTGCAATGATGTTCCATCAAACTGTATTTCGTCACTAAAAGACTAGTAGCGCCATCTGTTAGTGAGTAGTGAAAGTGAAAAGCAACTATCACCGCCATCTAGCGTACAGAAGAATAGGCATTTAAAAGCTATTAAGAACTACCACTAGGCATCGATAGAGGGCGTTACGTACACCAACAACAGAAAAATGGCTTCGACTAAAACGGAAAATTATGGTCCTTGCGCTGCTTGCTTTCAAATTATATCATCTCGCCAATTTTTGAAATGCTGTCTATGCTCTAAAAAGTACGACATCATATGCGTCAATGTGAGNCGGAGATACCTGTGCATTGTTAGCCACAAATTCTGAAAAGGTATCCGACCTCTCACTAGTATGGGAGCCAAAAGATCTAAATGGTTCATAGATGCGCATGTCTTCCCTCCTGGTGAAATGATGGGGTTGTTTGCTAACAGAATTAACCGACTCCCAAAATAATCCCAGAGTGCGAGTGAATGAAGTGGGTGACAGCGAACTACCTAAATCAACATTAGAGTGATCGGCAACTGAGAGGTCGGACAACTCTTTATGTACTAGCTTTAAAGCGTCGGGGTTATTTGGTTCTTCGATGAGAGCTTTCGATTCACGCCTCGGATCGTCGCGTGATACCATAATATGAAACACAGGAATGGACGAGGTAACCGCTTGCGTTTTGCTACCCGAAAACCCAAACAAAACCCATCCCAGTTGAGTTCGAATGGCAACCGGCTGAGACTTCGAACCACTTCTGGTCTCGGAAGCGACTGTGAGAGACCAGTTATCGACACCTATAATCAGCATGGGCCTCGCTTCATCGTAGCATAATTCGTGTACTATGTCAGCTAAATACGGAAATGATTGGAGGCTTTCTCGTGGCGCAGACTGGCTGCGCAGCCCTAAGTCCTTTATCGACCTCGTCCCTTGAATAGGGTAACTCGTATCGGAACAACGACCTTTTATTTCAAAATCCACATACTGCACGGCGCTATGTTTTGTTAAACCACCAACACAATCTAAATGAATTTGTCCCTGAGGACCTTCAGCGCCTATTCGAGAGGCGATGTCGGAGTCGATCAGCGTGGCTGTAGACCCGTCGTCTAGTAGTGCAAACGTATCGACACTACCAGCAGGCCCAGACACGGTAACAGCCACTACCTTTAATAAGGGACGTAATGCAGGATTGTTAACTAGCGTATCGGTTGCGTTGATAGCTACCGTATCAGGTTTTGAGTTAGATGACGTTGAAGGAAATGATTGTTCGATATTATTATGTGCGGCCGAAATGTGATTAGGATTAGGTTTAAAATTTGGATCGTGTAATAGCATGTGATGTTTTGCATTGCAACCGTTTCCCTGACAATTTAATTTGTTCCTATTGCACGTTTTAAAAATGTGGAAACCTCTTTTAAGACAGCGGTGACAGATTTTATTCTTTTTAATAAAATGCCATCTGTCATCGACTGTCAATGACATGAAGTCTTTGCAATTTGACAGATCGTGCGTTTGTTTACAAAATGAACAAATTTTTGATGTTGGATGATTCGGAACATTTATTGGATGCATTGCAGGTGCTTTGAAAGTCGTACCTGAAGTTGACTCGGAGATGGTATGTGTCCGGTGGTGAATTGGGCCCTGTGTCGTGGCATCGGCCACCGCTCCAAACTTCACCACTAAATCCACCTCACGAGATAGGAAGCGCGACAACATCTCTACCTTACCTTGGCCTAAACTCTCGTTAGCGGCAGCGAAATCCAGCCATCGTGCNGTTAGTGAATTGGCTATTTCGAAGAATTTACAAGGAGATTTAAATAAGAAGATAGCAATACTACAGTTCACACTAAAAAGAGAGGTAGGGCCACAGAGAGCGAGATAGATATAAGTAGGTATTTGACTCAAGTTTTGTTCCCAACTTTGCCCTCCATTTTTATCTGTAGCTTCATGATACTCACCCATCGTAATCCACCAATCAGAAACGAGGTTTATTTACTTTGCTGGGCTGTGATTGGTCAAGTTGTGTTTCTCTTGATAATTTCAATTTCAAAATGTCACTTTCTGTCTGTGAAGTCAAGTCTGTAGGGGTGTCCACTTTGAAAAAACATCGATGTTTTATTCGATTCGATATTTTGAAACTGTACATCGATTTCTTTCGATGTATTGGAAGAAAACATCGANAAAAATGTGACCCCGATTTTTGAATATGAGCGCGAGAAATACATGGACCCTAGCAGTCGCCCTTACCAGTCTAATCCAAGAGCTAAAATGAGTGACGTCTGCTACTACTGGTAAGGGAAGCTGATTTAATGAATGAATAACGTTGATGGAATCTGAAACATGTTCGAGTGGTATGACGTCATGAGAAATGGGTGACTTGAGCTCCTCTTGTCCTAAATCTGACGATATCGAAGCCTTTTCCGCAGGCCACTCACTGATTGGAGCTAATAAAAAGTCTGGACCAAATATCCATCGTGACTCAATGCCGCATGTCCCCCTAGTCGCGTCGTCAGCCACGTTAAGTTCGCTTGGAACCCAACGCCACTCGGTACTATGGCTGTTTTCCAATATTTCGCCGACGCGATGGGCCACAAATGGCTTAAAATTACGTGCGTCGCTTCGCAGCCACCCCAATACAGTCATTGAGTCAGTCCAGAAAAAACGCCGACTTGGTTTGATTCGATGTGCATCTCCAATAGTCGTGGCCAGCCGAGAAGCTATCAAAGCTCCCTGCAATTCCAATCGGGGAATCGAAGCGGGCTTAAGCGGAGATACCCGTGCCTTGCTAGCCACAAGCGCGAGTTTCACTTCCCCGTTAGGAAGAACAAACCTCCAGTACGCAACGGCAACATGGGCCAATTCGCTGGCATCGCAAAAAACGTGTAACTCCAACTCACTGAAATCGCTTAAATTGTAACATCGCGGTACTTGAAACTGTAGGATAGACTTCCGACTTTCGAACCATTCATTCCACGTTATTTGATCTGCATCCGATAACCTTTCATCCCATCCGAGTCCCTTGCGCCACAAATTTTGAAAAAGTATCCGACCTCTCACTACTATGGGAGCTAAAAGACCTAATGGATCATAGATGCGCATGACCTGTGCCAGTACTTCCCTCTTGGTGAAATGATGGGGTTGTTTGATACCAGGGTTAAAACCTAGTACGTCATTAACCGGGTCCCAAAATAATCCCAGAGTGCGAGTGAATGAAGTGGGTGACAGAGAACTACCTAAATCAACATTAGAGTGATCGGCAACTGAGAGGTCGGACAACAACTCTTTATGCAGTAGCTCTAAAGCGTCGGGGTTGTTGGATACCCAACCACGCATTTCGAAACCGCCTCGCTTATGAATTTCACATATATTTGCTGCCAAATGTTTCGCTTTTTCAACCGAATCAACACTCCCTATGTAGTCATCCATATACGTATCGGATGCGATGGCTTCTACTGCCTCGGGAAATTCGTCTTGAAACTCTGATGCATTTTTATTTAACACGAAAATCGCTGTCGACGGACTAGAGCAAGCACCAAAAATCATGGAAGACATGCGAAACGTTTTAATCGGACCGTTAGGATCATCTCGCCACAAAAAACGTTGCGCATCCCGATCATCTTCCTGAATTTTAACTTGCGGAAACATTTCCTTAATGTCGGCTGTTAAGGCAATCTTTCCTTCCCTAAAACGCATCAAAATTCCAAGGATTGGTTGTAAAAAATCAGGGCCAGGCAAAAGTAATGAATTAAGAGACACCCCTTGTGTCTTGGCGGCGGCATCGTGGACTACACGGAGTTTCGCTGGTTTGTTAGGATTCACCACTCCGAAGTGCGGCAAATACCAACAAAGCGGCTTCGGCGGCTGCCCCGTGCACTCCTCGGCGTAACCTTTAGCTAGCATGTCGTGTATGTTCTTACGGTAACGTTCAGCATACGCGGGGTCTTTTATCATTTTTGATTCAAGACTTTTGAATCTTGAAAACGCTAAAGAATAACTATCAGGAACCGTAATGTTATCAGATTTCCAGAGTAGGCCTACCTGAAAGCGTCCGTTAGGTAAGCGACGTGTCGTATTACGCAAAATCTGGACAGCACGCTCATCATCGACACTACGAAGCTCATGTTTGGTAATTCCAATAGCGTCCAGGCGGTATTGTTCTTTGATGAGAGCTTCCAATTCATGCCTCGGATCGTCGTGTGAAATCATGTGAAACACAGGAGTGGACGAAGTAACCACACGAGTTTTGCTACTCGAAAACCCGAATAAAACCCATCCCAGTTGAGTTCGAATGGCAACCGGCTGAGACTTCGAACCACTTCTGGTCTCGGACGCGACTATGAGAGGCCAGTTATCGACACCTATAATCAGCATGGGCCTCGCTTCATCGTAGCATAATTCGTGTACTATGTCAGCTAAATACGGAAATGATTGGAGGCTTTCTCGTGGCGCAGACTGGCTGCGCAGCCCTAAGTCCTTTATCGACCTCGCCCCTTGAATAGGGTAACTCGTATCAGAACAACGACCTTTTATTTCAAAATCCACATACTGCACGGCGCTATCTTTTGTTAAACCACCTACACAATCTAAATGAATTTGTCCCTGAGGACCTTCAGCGCCTATTCGAGAGGCGATGTCGGAGTCGATCAGCGTGGCTGTAGACCCGTCGTCTAGTAGTGCAAACGTATCGACACTACCAGCAGGCCCAGACACGGTAACAGCCACTACCTTTAATAAGGGACGTAATGCAGGATTGTTAACTAGCGTATCGGTTGCGTTGATAGCTACCGTATCAGGTTTTGAGTTAGATGACGTTGAAGGAGATGATTGTTCGATATTATTATGAGCGGCCGAAATGTGATTAGGTTTAAAATTTGGATCGTGTAATAGCATGTGATGTTTTGCATCGCAACCGTTTGCCTGACAATTTAACTTATTCCTATTGCACGTTTTAAAAATGTGGAAACCTCTTTTAAGACAGCGGTGACAGATTTTATTCCTTTTAATAAAATGCCATCTGTCATCGACTGTCAATGACATGAAGTCTTTGCAATTTGACAGATCGTGCGTTTGTTTACAAAATGAACAAATTTTTGATGTTGGATGATTCGGAACATTTATTGGATGCATTGCAGGTGCTTTGCTAGACGACGGGTCTACAGCCACGCTGATCGACTCCGACATCGCCTCTCGAATAGGCGCTGAAGGTCCTCAGGGACAAATTCATTTAGATTGTGTAGGTGGTTTAACAAAAGATAGCGCCGTGCAGTATGTGGATTTTGAAATAAAAGGTCGTTGTTCCGATACGAGTTACCCTATTCAAGGGGCGAGGTCGATAAAGGACTTAGGGCTGCGCAGCCAGTCGGCGCCACGAGAAAGCCTCCAATCATTTCCGTATTTAGCTGATATAGTACACGAATTATGCTACGATGAAGCGAGGCCCATGCTGATTATAGGTGTCGATAACTGGCCTCTCACAGTCGCTTCCGAGACCAGAAGTGGATCGAAATCTCAGCCGGTTGCCATTCGTACTCAACTGGGATGGGTTTTGTTTGGGTTTTCGAGTAGCAAAACGCAAGCGGTTACCTCGTCCATTCCTGTGTTTCATATTATGGTATCACGCGACGCTTGGCCTAAAATCTCGTTCGCGGCAGCGAAATCCAGCCATCGCGTGCGTAGCAGTGGCGTCAACTTACTTAACAGTCCCCCGAAGAGCTCAGGGGAGCGTAAATAGTCGTAGTGTTCCAATAATTTCGCAATTTCGACACAGTTACGCACACGAGTGGCAAAGATTGTCAGATCCCGCACTTCCGGGCCCAGTTTAGGCAAGGCTTTGATAGAATTGACCTCCTGCAAAACGATTAACTCAGGCCTTCCGAAACGACGTTCCAATGCGTCAATTACATCTTCCGCTCGGTGCGCCATCACCAATAATGTCCCAACGGCCTCTCGTGCGGCTCCTCTTAGAGCCTGGTTTAGCCGGGTGAGGTTCTCCGTATCTGAAAATGTATTAGATGTGTCAACAAATGCACGTTTAAACATGAGCCACTCTAACGGAGATTTCCCATCGTATGTCGGCAACGGTGTCACATTTTTGCTAAACGATGGTTGTTGCTTCTCCGCAAAGGTGTGTAGGGCTTCAACAAGCTGCGCAACGCCAATCGTGCCACCCTCTCCATCGTAGTGCTTATCGATGGCATTGACCCCATTGCCTCGGTGTTGATCGCGCCGAGGCGGATTCGAAGGGCCCGATGCCGGCACTAGAGGGATGACGGCGTCAACGCAGTGCTCATTTTCAGCCTGTTGACACACTTTTGGAGAATTAACATGCCCTACCTCCGCACCGTGGTGCGGTTCGTTCTCGGAGTCCTGCAGCCATTCGGCCACTCGTGAGTTACTGGACTCCGAGACTGCCTCACTCAATGCTTCAATGGAAGCTAGCTCCGCTTGATATTCGGCCTCCGCCACTTTACGCTCTAATTCTGCAAGGCGGCGAAGGTGGCGCGCCTCCGCTGCGAGTTTCCTCGCAACAATCGTAGCGGAGGAGCGGCGGCTACGTGCGGATGAGGAAGACGGGCGGGTGGTATCGATAATCGGACTGGTTGTTACCTGTGTTTCCGAAGGATCCGTTTGGGTGGCCGGTGTAGGAGGCATCGGAACGACCTCGCTACTTGCCTGAATTGGTTCCTTTTGCGAACGTGTATTTACCATCATCCAATTTTTACCAACCGCTTTTTACCAATACACTGAGAACTGCTGAAAAATAAGCTAGTGATCCGGCTCGAAGATGTTAATCGTACTAACTATTCTAATTTCGTCGTATCAATAAAAACCAGTTTCAGAAACGTATACCGTCTATTCTTCCTCAAGTGACATTAATAATAAAAAAGCGAACATCGAAAGTTAATAGACAATAAAAAAACATAGCGTAAAAAAGTATACATATTTATCAAAAAGTGTCCATTCGTGGACACTAACAGTAACAGGTAGGTAGATAAAAATACTTTATTTTGCAGTCGGATAAAAATGAGTCAGCTTCCAAGGAAGTAGGTCAATTAGGTTTCAATTGTAATTTTCTAGGCTTCAAAGTAAGCAAGACTAGTGCAATTAAAATGTAATGAAGTGCAGGATCGATTTCCAATTAACTCATATAAAATCAGTTTGAAAGTTGCATGGCATCGCGCCATAACGGTATAGAACGTAGCGATACTCGATCTATCTAGCTTTCTGGTTCCCAAACTGTTGTTTCAAATCAAATCAAATCAAATCGAAAATTATTTATTCAGTTTGGACCACAAGTGGCACTTATGAACGTCAATAGAAAATAATAAAAAAAGAAAAGTTTAATCTACCCCCTGTGGTTCGCGTACCGGGCTGACGCCCGTATACACAAACATTACTATGAGGTCTCACAGAGCGCGTGGACGCACAGGGTGACACGCGAACCAATCACAGAGTTCTATTCAACGCTGTGCGTTCGATTTGCTGCTTCGTTTGTGAATATGGGCGTAAGTAGGTATAACAAGGTCTAGATGGATGGTTGACGTTAACGGGGCTATTCCCACATTTCCCTGGTTGCCACTTACCAGGATTACTCTTGGCTCAGACTGACTTATTCATACTCCAGGGTCTTCACCAGCTTGATTGGTATAAAAGTAAAGCCTGTTTTAGTCCCGTTGGGGCGTGTGGGTTACCTTTACTACACAGTTACTAGTTATAATGATAAGATGTGAATAAAGTATTTTTAGGGTTCCGTACCTCAAAAGGAAAAAACGGAACCCTTATAGGATCACTTTGTTGTCCGTCCGTTTTTGTATTTTACCCATCAAGCACCATACCTATTTGGGATAACAAATAGCTGTCACACTCATAACTAGACGTGCGCGCCGCCGCGGCGCGCCGCCGCCATAAGGAGTCAGCGCGCCGCCGCCGCCGCCGGTTGTTTAAAATTCGCGCCGAGACAAAACCCGCAAGAGAGTACAAGTTTAAAATCAATCTAATGTGAAGCGGGCAACGGAGCTGGCAGATATTGACAACCATCTTTCGTTTTACTCGAGGGAATAACGCCAGAGGCATGGAACAGAAGCGTGGTAGTGCTTTTCTTCAAGAAAGGATATAACACCTTACTGAAGAATTACAGACCCATCTCGCTTCTGAGCCATGTTTACAAGCTGTTTTCGAGAGTCATCACGAATCGTCTCGCACGTAGGTTCGATGACTTCCAGCCTCCCGAACAAGCCGGTTTCCGGAAAGGTTATAGTACCATAGACCACATCCATACGCTGCGGCAGGTTATACAGAAGACTGAGGAGTATAACTTGCCACTATGCTTGGCGTTCGTGGACTATGAGAAGACCTTTGATTCGATTGAGACGTGGGCAATGCTGCAGTCTCTCCAGCGGTGCCGTGTCGACTATCGGTACATCGAGGTACTAAAGTGCTTGTACAAAAACGCCACCATGTCGGTCCGAGTACAGGAGCAAAGCACGAGGGCGATTCCTCTACAGCGAGGCGTAAGACAGGGAGATGTTATATCTCCGAAACTCTTCACCGCGGCATTGGAAGACGCTTTCAAACTCCTGGAATGGAAAGGATACGGCATAAACGTTAACGGCGAGTACATCACTCACCTTCGGTTTGCCGACGATATCGTGGTCATGGCAGAATCGCTGGAGGACCTCGGCACCATGCTCGAAGACCTTAATCGAGTTTCCCAACAGGTAGGCCTTCGGATGAACATGGACAAAACGAAGCTTATGTCGAACGTCCATGTTGCGCCCTACCCGGTGTCGGTTGGGAGCTCGATTCTTGAGATTGTTGACAAGTATGTCTACCTCGGACAAACGATCCAGCTAGGTAGGTCCAATTTCGAGAAGGAGGTCAATCGTCGAATCCAACTCGGCTGGGCAGCGTTCGGGAAACTACGCAACATCTTTTCGTCCAAAATACCCCAGTGCCTGAAGACGAAAGTCTACAACCAATGTGTGTTACCTGTGATGACTTATGGCTCGGAAACGTGGCCCCTCACTATAGGCCTTATACAGAAGCTCAAAGTTGCACAGCGTGCTATGGAGAGGGCTATGCTCGGTGTTTCTTTACGAGATCGAATCAGAAATGAGGAGATCCGTAAACGAACTAAAGTCGCTGACATAGCCCGACGGATCAGCAAGCTGAAGTGGCAGTGGGCTGGGCACATAGTACGCAGAACTGACGGCCGATGGGGCAGCAAGGTTCTGGAATGGAGGCCACGTACCGGAAAACGCAGCGTGGGACGTCCACCCACAAGGTGGACCGATGACCTGATAAAGGTAGCGGGAAGGCGCTGGATGCAGGCCGCTACCAACCGTGCGATGTGGAAGTCATTGGGGGAGGCCTATGTTCAGCAGTGGACGTCCTGTGGCTGANCTACGGATCTCCTCATTTCTGATTCGATCACGCAGGGAAACTCCGAGCATAGTACGCTCCATCGTTCTTTGGGTGACCTTGAGCCTTCTTATGAGGCCCATAGTAAGCAACCACGTCTCAGATCCGTATATTATCACTGGCAACACACACTGGTCAGACGTTTGACTTGAGACACTGCGGTATTTCGAACGTCAGAATATTGCGAAGCTTCCCGAACGCTGCCCAGCCGAGCCAGAGAACAAGTAAAGTTTCAATACTTTCCCAACTCTTGCGCAAATACAGCATGCAACACAGTTCTCATGGTTCCGGCTTCGATGATGCTGTTGACCAGCTTGAAAATACCTAGGTACTGCTGATCCTGCGAAACTTGAAGACGGGGACATCTTGTCCTACTGGCAAACCAGACAATCTGCCTACCCGCGTTTATCGTCATTAGCACAAGAGCGAAAGAGTGTTTTCGGTTGCTGGATTGCTTTTAACAGCCAAAAGGTCCCGGCCCGAGTCCATTTAGGATTTAGGGTGAATAAAATAATTTTTGTGCACGACAACTATAAAAGGACAATGTTCGTTCTCCATACATTGTTCGCCTAAGAACCAACAATTTTGACATATTACTACCCGAAAGCGAAATAATACGATTCTGTGTGTAAGAACAATGATTCCTGATGGACACTTGCCATAAAATTAATGATTAAGAATATTAAATCACAGCGATTTTATAATACGTCGTTTATGACAACATGGCGTCTAATGTATTGTGTGAATGTATGAACACCGATTCGCGAAAAATGTTTTGTATTGTCGTCACGCCGAGTCGCAGCCAAATAGTATAAAATAATAGAACAAGNATTATTATTATTATTATTATTATTCAAAGCCGGAGTGGCTCGCATGAAACAAGCTGTCCTTGTGCCGGCGTCACTATGCTGAAATCTTAAGTAAATTTATCTTTTTAATATCTAAGCTGGTGTCACTAGGTGGACCGACGAACTGGTGAAGGTCACGGGAAGAGCCTGAATGCGGGCAACGCAGGACCGGTCGTTATGAAAATCCTTGAGGGAGGCCTTTATCCAGCAGTGGACGTCATTTGGCTGAAACGAACGAACGAACGGACAAATATCTAAGCTGACAAGTCACCTCGAACTCGTGTTCCATGAGGCATTTGTCGGCGCCTTCGGGCGTGTTCCGCAGCCGGTCGATGGATGCTTTCAACCGCGACGCCGGGATCTCCGTGTCTCCATAGTGTGCGTATTCAACCAGCGCTCGGTACACGAACACGTATTGTTTCTGTGGACAACATCTTAACGTTAAAAACATCCTGTGATCACTCTTTAATCATCTCTTTCTTCGTCCCAGCATAATGCTGGTGATTTGGTAATAATGTGAGCTAGTGTTGACAAGAAGTAACGCAACAATATTAGTCAGCCTCTTCGTTAACAAGTATAGAAGGTTATTCACTGGTACTGGCTAAGCATTTTCAAAACTATGGATCATTTTGTTTGTTAAATAAATCTTAGGACTGCCGATTGAGTTATTATATTTACAGGGATACTAAGAAGCTCCTTTAACGGTTAATTTAGTTGCTGTCGAAGACAGTGTCTGAGACGCAGACACAATGGCTGCTAGCATCGCAGCTCGGCGACCGCGTTGAACTCGGCGGGGAGAGCCACAGTAGTCACCACCCTGGTGTTCACAGCTCGGCCACGGTGTTGACACGCGACGTGCCGGTGACAGGGAGAGCCACAGTGGCGAGTCAAGGCCACGAGGGGCCGGTGGGGGACCCACAGTGGCCGGTGTGGGGAGCCACAGTGGCCGGTGCGGGGAGCCACAGTGGCCGGTGCGGGGAGCCACAGTGGCCGGTGCGGGGAGCCACAGTGGCCGGTGCGGGGAGCCACAGTGGCCGGTGCGGGGAGCCACAGTGGCCGGTGCGGGGAGCCACNGAATTGGGCCCTGTGTCGTGGCATCGGCCACCGCTCCAAACTTTACCACTAAATCCACCTCCCGAGATAGGAAGCGCGACAACATCTCTACCTTACCTTGGTATATAATTAAATTGCAGGGAGCTTTGATAGCTTCTCGTCGGGCCACGACTATTGGAGACGCACATCGAATTAAACCGCGTCGGCGTTTTTTCTGGACTGACTCTCTCACTGGAACATGCGGCATTGAGTCACGATGTCCAGACCTTTTAGTAACTCCAATCAGTGAGTGGCCTGCGGAAAAAGGCTTCAAGTCACCCATTTCATATGACATCGTACCACCCGAACGTATGACATCGTACCATCCGAACATGTTTCAGATTCCATCAACGTTGTCCATTCATTAAATCAGCGGCCCTTACCAGTAGTAGCTAACGTCACTCATTTTAGCTCTTGGTTTAGACTGGTAAGGGCAACTGCTTGGATCCATTTATTTTTCACACTCATATTCAAACACCAGCACCTTTTTCGAAATTTTTGGGTTGGGGTGTTTCTATAACGTAAAACTTAGAGTTTCAGTCTTCGACCCCTTCCGCCACCGCTTCTTGCCCATTGACGCTGAGATCTGAGGACGTCGTGCAGAACGGCACCTTGCTCCTGGAGTCATCTGAACGTTTTTCAAGAGGAAATGCTTTGTCTGATGCGCCACCAACCTATGCCAAGAAAGAGCCAGTGGTACGCCTTTTCAATTCTTCATTATCATGAAAAACTCGCCCATTGCGACACGGAGAGCGTCATCAATGAACTGCGGCAGAAGTTTGGATTCTCGGCATACGAATCGAAACGCGGTGCGGTGTGTCGTAGGTATGCCAGATTTGTAAGCTGCTTTGGAGATCAACGCTCTGTCCTTCAATGGGAGATCATCCGGAGGAAAGATTGGCTCACCAGCATCGATCATTTTGGACCAGCTGAAGTAGCAATCGGTCGCAGGAAAGAGAAACGGTGGGGGGCATTGTTCAAGTGCATGGTCGAGAGCCATCCACCATGAGATCGTTGCAAGCCTCCCTGCGGCTATTATGTGTTTCCAGAGGTTCATCGCACACCGAGCACCATCCTCTCCGATGATGGCACGTCATTTCTTGGAGCTAATCGGCAACTACGAGTCCCTTACGATACGATCAATAAAATCGTCTGGCGCTTCATACTCCCTTCGGCTCCATTTATGGGCGGCACCTGGGATCAACTCGTGCGAAGAGTCAAGACTGATATGATGGGCAGGAGCTGTTGGCGGAAGGTGCTCCGACTGGGTGGTAGATACGAAAAATCGTTTTCCTTTAAAAAAGGGGAGGATGTCCACGAATGGACACTTTTTTATAAATATGTATACTTTTTTACGCTTTGTTTTTTTATTGTCTATTAACTTTCGATGTTCGCTTTTTTATTATTAATGTCACTTGAGGAAGAATAGATGGAATACGTTTCTGAAACTGCATTTTATTGATACGACAGAATTAGAATAGTTAGTACGATTAACATCTATAGATAAGTTAATATACATAATGTAGTTGTTTTGTTATTATCACCATATAAAAAACATCATTCCCTAACTAGTAATTTAGTCCCAAGTGCCGTTTAAAGCTAGGGCCTGACGCTCTAGGGACTGACGATTTGGAGTAAAACTTAACACAAATGCAGATTAACTTTATATTATAAGATGCTTAATACGATGTGCCGAAAATAGCCAAAAAAACACACGTAAATACTAATTAAATTATATACAATTTCTTATTGTAATCAATAAAGCTACTCGACTAGGGACTGACGAAGTGACTGGATAAACACATGTTTCCGCAACAACTGGCACTTTTGCACTAATTCAAAAAACGGCTACCGCAAAGCCAGTATGGTCTGAGGATAACTTCGTATCGTACTTTAAACTCAACTAAATGTCATTCACTCTAAATACATATTAAAGCGCAAAATTATAAAATCAGTGCGTGGCGAGGAAATGACGCTAAAAGCTGTAGACTCTTTTTCAACTAAAGAAAATCAAATTATTGTTTATTGAAACCGCAAAATATTAATAGAATTTGGTGTAATATACATTTAAATAGATTATTCGTTAATTAAAACAAAGGATAAAGTTGATGTTTTTATAAATGTGGGTCCCAAAACACAAACTTTTGGGGTACGGACATGCCTAGGGAATGACGTTTTGGGTCATTCAAAAGGAATTTAAGATGTTTTAAAAATAGTTTCAGAAAATATAAATGGGTGATGAATAAAGCACATTGCGAGCTGTTATTTAACAATTTTGGAATAAAATATTAACAAATATTTCATGTGAAATGTGGCGCGGACTAAGAGTTGACATATTTTTGTGGAATGACCCTAATACGACATTTGTCGATATGTCCCAACACTAACATTTTTGTAACTCGAGATAACCTTGTAGAGACGTCGTTAATACTCTAGCTTGATTTTTATAATTTCGAATTACTACTTATTGGAGTAATTTAACGCTGCATTTACACGAAATTAACATTTTTATTGGAAGCACTGTCGTCGAAAATATTGTTTGTAGGTCAGACTTGAATTATTTCTTGTCCGCCAATATTTAGCTATCATTGATCGCTACTACAAAGTTATGTCGTTACTTTTGATGGCAGCTGTCATTCTAATCAAGCTATATTGGATAGACTATAGTGAGGGTTTCAGGACAAAAAATCTATATTTTATCAGCCAAAGCGGTTGAAATATGCTAGAAGAATCTTAAACAAAAATCACTACGTTATATCAGTATACCTATTAATTATCAAATAATCGTGTTTTTAATAAACATTATTTTCATTATTATTGCAGAATTCCGTCCGCAGTTTTGGGATTTTGAGCAATCGGTTGCGGATAGGGGAACGCCCGCCAGTCATGGGGGGGTATCGATTAACTGGCGCAGGAAAAAAAGCGCGACAGGTATTGTCAACTTGGTGGGCCTGTCGGACAACCCGTAACCTACAAATGAGTGGGCCGAGGGCCGACAAGACATTTCCCCAGGCAGGGGACATCTTTGCTAATTTTTAAGAGGGCTGCTCGCGGAACTCCTCTGATCAGTAGAACTAACTGAGCAGCGGCATGGAGCAGACCTACATATAAAAAATAACTGGAGGAGCAAATTGGGGGACCATTCAAAGCCGGAGTGGCTCGCATAATTGTGGTGACTGAGTTTGTTCCGGCGTTTCTTCTCAGCACCTGCCATATGTTTGTCTCGAAGCGCTGGTAGGGTCCAAAAGATAAGGAGACATGTAAAGTGCCCCATAAGGGCTACCTTTTCTTTTTTTATTATTTTCTATAATAATATTTTGACGTTCATAAGTGCCACTTGTGGTCTAAACTGAATAAATATTTTTGATTTTGATAAAACAAGCTGTCCTTATGTCACTAAGCGGAAATCTTAAGCTGAGTAATTATATCTTTTTAATATCTAAGCTGGTATCACTAGGTGGACCTACTACCTGGTGAAGGTCGCGGGAAGAGCCTGGATGCGGGCAGCGCAGGACCGGTGGTTATGGCCGTGGCCTTCGTCACCGTGGGCCACGGCATATGCTGAGTGGGGTCCCGTTGCAGTGGGCATCTTGTTGGTGAATGGGTGGCACTGCTCAGTTTACTCCTGTTTTTATTTTTTTCTTCTTCCATTATTATGTGCCACTGTCATGTCTATGTAGTTGCCTGTATTTGTGTGATGTCCATTGTGATAAATATATCTTTCTTTCTTTTATGGAAATCCTTGGGGGAGGTCTTTGTCCAGCAGTGGACGTCATTTGGCTGAAATGAACGAACGAACGAATATTTAAGCTGACAAGTCACCTCGAACTCGTGCTCCATGAGGCACTTGTCGGCGCCTTCAGGCGTGTTCCGCAGCCGGTCGATGGATGCTTTCAGCCGCGACGCCGGGATCTCCGTGTCTCCGTAATGAGCATACTCAACCAGCGCTCGGTACACGAACACGTATTGTTTCTGTGGACAACATCTTAATGTTAAAAAACATCTTGTGATCACTCTTTAATCATCTCTTTCTTCGTCCCAGCATAATGCTAGTGATTTGGTAATAATGTGAGCTAGTGTTGACAAGAAGTAACGCAAAAATATTAGTCAGCTTCTTTGTTAACAAGTATAGAAGGTTGTTCACAGGTATTGGCTAAGCATTTTCAAAACTATGCATCATTTTGAAAATTACAAATAACATTAAAAATGGAACTGCCTAAAGCGGGAATGATTAATGGATTAGTATGAGATGCGACTCTTAACGCTAAAAATTTAATAACTATGGATCATTTTATTTGTTAAATAAATCTTAGGACTGCCGATTGAGTTACATTTACAGGGTCCCGATTACGCTAAAAAATTTCATCTTCAACGTGCCCAGACGACGAACGAACATCAGCTGTTTTAACGAAGCATAGACGTAAACGTAAAGCTAAATATCTCACGTGACAATGAAAATACTAGGAAGGTGAAAAACGGAGCGCAACTGGAGAAGAAGCGCGTATGTATTGGAGACGTTAAAAATTTGCGTAATCGGGGCATAGGGCTACTGAGAAGCTCCTAACGGTTAGTTCAGTCGCTGAAGACGGTGGCTCGGTGTGGCAGATTACAGCCTTGGTGTTGACAGCTCGGCCACGGTGTTGACATGCGACGTGCCGGTTACAGGGAGAGCCACGTGGCCGCGGGTACTGACCAGCGACTGCACGAGGAAGTTCCGCTGGCGGCGCAGCTCGGCGACCGTGTTGAACACGGCGGCGTGGCCGGTGGCCTGCAGTCGCTCCGGCAGCAGTCCAGGCCACGAGGGGCCGGTGGGGGAGCCACGTGGCCGCGGGTACTGACCAGCGACTGCACGAGGAAGTTCCGCTGGCGGCGCAGCTCGGCGACCGTGTTGAACACGGCGGCGTGGCCGGTGGCCTGCAGTCGCTCCGGCAGCAGTCCAGGCCACGAGGGGCCGGTGGGGGAGCCACGTGGCCGCGGGTACTGACCAGCGACTGCACGAGGAAGTTCCGCTGGCGGCGCAGCTCGGCGACCGTGTTGAACACGGCGGCGTGGCCGGTGGCCTGCAGTCGCTCCGGCAGCAGTCCAGGCCACGAGGGGCCGGTGGGGGAGCCACGTGGCCGCGGGTACTGACCAGCGACTGCACGAGGAAGTTCCGCTGGCGGCGCAGCTCGGCGACCGTGTTGAACACGGCGGCGTGGCCGGTGGCCTGCAGTCGCTCCGGCAGCAGTCCAGGCCACGAGGGGCCGGTGGGGGAGCCACGTGGCCGCGGGTACTGACCAGCGACTGCACGAGGAAGTTCCGCTGGCGGCGCAGCTCGGCGACCGTGTTGAACACGGCGGCGTGGCCGGTGGCCTGCAGTCGCTCCGGCAGCAGTCCAGGCCACGAGGGGCCGGTGGGGGAGCCACGTGGCCGCGGGTACTGACCAGCGACTGCACGAGGAAGTTCCGCTGGCGGCGCAGCTCGGCGACCGTGTTGAACACGGCGGCGTGGCCGGTGGCCTGCAGTCGCTCCGGCAGCAGTCCAGGCCACGAGGGGCCGGTGGGGGAGCCACGTGGCCGCGGGTACTGACCAGCGACTGCACGAGGAAGTTCCGCTGGCGGCGCAGCTCGGCGACCGTGTTGAACACGGCGGCGTGGCCGGTGGCCTGCAGTCGCTCCGGCAGCAGTCCAGGCCACGAGGGGCCGGTGGGGGAGCCACGTGGCCGCGGGTACTGACCAGCGACTGCACGAGGAAGTTCCGCTGGCGGCGCAGCTCGGCGACCGTGTTGAACACGGCGGCGTGGCCGGTGGCCTGCAGTTGCTCCAGCAGACAGTCCAGCGCGACCAGGGTGCCGGTGCGGCCCACGCCGGCTGAGCAGTGCACCACCACGGGACGCCCCACCATGTTCGACCACGCTTCGTTCACGCGCTGCAAGGAATATTTATAAAAGTCATCATAAAAAATATTTTTGGAAGTAGGTTTTTAAAAGCACTTTTACACGTCCCAGTATGCCCCTACCACTGCTTCGGGACAGTAAATGGGCCAATGCTGTAGTCAAAATTGAAGGTGAATGAAGTAAGAAGGCGAGTAAATTGTAAAGACACAGTTGTTACAATCAAAACATGATTTTTATGAGTTTTGAACTTTTTTCATTTCACTAAAGTTCAAAATATAGTGGCATCTATTCCGCCAAGGCTGAAACGAACGGACGAAAGAACTATTTTATAAAAGCTGAAAGTTTGTCAGCGTATGCTCCCAATATAGGATATAATGTTGGTGAATTATGAAGTTTGGGTCATTGTGGCTTTGGGAGCTACCCTAAAAAAACTGTCTGGCAAGGAGTTGGAACTGTCAAAACTGTCTGGCTGTTGGGGAAAATACTTCTAATTATTGCCCAAAAAAACAGATTTTATGGTATAACGTAAGTCTAACTTTTACGGTGGCTTTTTCTGTATATTCAATAGAGATAGAATAGCCCACACTATAGAAGACGCTTACCTTGATGAACTTGAGTATAGAATGAGGGTGTTCCGGCGCCGCGAAGTCTTTCCACATGAGGAAATGGTACTGGCGGACGGTACGGCCCTCGCCTGAATCTTTGGCTTCCCGCGGGGAGGTGGGGGCGCTGGAGTCTGATGCTTCTTTGCAATCTGCGGACACAAGCACGTAAGGATATAGAGAATGAGCTTAGAATAAAAGCATTAACACTCGTATTCACAAACGATGCTTGCTAAAGTCAAGCAGTAAATCGAACGCACAGCGTTAAATAGAGCTCTGTGATTGGTTAGTATGCCACCCTGTGCGTCCACGCGCACTGTGAGACCTCATAGTAATGTTTGTGAATACGGGCGAATGACAGTCTTGCTAGAGTGGTCGATGTGTGCTGTTGTTAACGTTTATATGAACACACAACTGCATGTGGATGTCATCTTGAGATCACTCTTATTTCCTGGAGAAACAAGAGCGAGTTTTGCAACACCAATAATATGCTAGATGTGCTGAAGAGTATACCTAATTTCAGGGAATCCAGCTACCATAATATTATTAGCAAAATTTCTGAGGTATCGTATTTTTCATAAGTAACAAAATGTAAGATTATGACATTTATTATGTTCTTACCACCATTTCTCTTAGCAATGCCGTTGTTCTCAATTATTGGTTGTCCATCTGCGTTCGTTGGCTGCTTGGTGATCCTCAGCTCTCTGACGATGTAGTCCGAATACCTGAATGTTACAAAGTTAATATAATTATTATTTTCTATTATATCTTTCAGCACTACATCTACAGTATTGCAAATTAAGTGAAAAATCAAAGTAGCAACTTCATAGATGTGGTAGGTGCGAGTTTGCTAAAAAAATTTGTCAGATATGCGCACGCCATCTTAATACAGTTTTATATTTGTAAAGGTTCGAATTTGTAATAGCAGTCCCAAAAAACACTTCAAAACACAGTGAAACTTCTATAGTTGTAACAGATGCCAATTTAGAACAGCATAGTTTAATAATGGCTACGCACGGGACGACTACCCACAAGGTAGACCGGTGACTTCATAAAGGTAGCAGCAAGCATGTATGCAGGCCGTTACCAACCAAGATTGTAACTCGCCTATAAACCTGTCTGACACTGATCAAACCGTCTCGCCCAACCAGAAGGGCGCGCAATCCTCATCACGCATTGGTTCCCGCTGAATACCAGCTTCTCGGCATGACGTTTGCGTCACCCGTTCAGCATATTACTTTGTCACAATTATTATTAATTTACAATTTGGTAGACAAAGTAATATGCTGAACGGAACAGGCGCCCGTTCAGCATATTACTTTGTCTACCAAATTGTCCTGAATAAAGACTTTCTTATTCTTATTCAAACGATCACTATGGAAATCATTGGGAGAGGCGTATGTCCAGCAGTGGACGTCCAGAGGCTGAAATGATGATCATGATTATAGTTATACCCACCTCTTCTCACCCACATGATGCACAGTAATAGCGCCGAAAGCCCTCGCGCCCCGCACTTCGTCAGGCCAGTACTTGCTGCACTTGACCTTGGAGTATTCCTCCAGGTTTGTCAGCATCACGATCAGTTCAAGACCGTGCTCCCAGATCATACGCCAGAAGTCGTTGACGGTGGTGTCTGTGGGACCTTGCGCGCAGATGAACTGTTTGCGTTCCTATTGATAAATAAATAAATAAAAAATATGCTTGGATATTTTATTCCAGCGACATCTAAAGCCCGGTCTGTGAGCACGTAGAATTTTGTCCAATGACCCCAAGCTACCCATCCTTATCGCTCGCGCGTAATTATATTGACAGACTATAGTCATAAATTAAGCAAAATAGTTTGTTTTGGATTTCGGCTTAGAACTGTTTAGAGTAAGACCCGATTTCCACCAAGTCGGAGAAGTGTTTTGAATAACCAATCAGATTTCATTATTTCCACTTCTCTCCGCTCCGCACAGTTTCGATCCACGCCGCGCCGGCACGGCTATCGAATTCTATTTTTTTTATGTGACAGGAGGCAAACGAGCAGACGGATCACCATCTGGTAAGTGATTACCGTCGCCCATAGACACACGCAGTCCCAGGGGCGTTACAGGTGCGTTATCGGCCTTTAAGGCCAAAAAGTTTCTATAGAAAAATTTGACGGCCCGACACTTGTCCACTCCGCTCCGCCTAAGTGGAAACCGGGGCTTATATCCTAGACCCAGACTTTGTTTTTTTTTGTGACAAAAAGGAATCAATTTGGACATTTATTCTTGATGTTGGTTTATGTTATAACATGAAGAGTTAAGAGAGCAAATTAAATTTAAACAGCGGAAAAATATACAAAATAAACACAGGAAAGAAGGAACACGTAACAACACAAATGGTACAGTCATCCTCAAAAAAGTTTAATTTGACCAATGATTGAAGTCTTACATTATGCTATTTTGTCGAGAAAGTGCGAAAACCACGTGTTTTAAGTCCAGTAAGTTCATTTCTAAAGATTTTAGCTTGGACGAATAAACCACTGGACGCGTAACGAGTGACGTTTTCGTCTTTACCCCGCTAGCACTTACCATGGCTAAATTAGCCATGGTAAATGTTGTCAGGTTGTCACTTTGTCAGTATGACGCCAGCTCTCGAAGGGTAAAAATATCACGAAAAATGGGTAAATGCGCCGTACTTTATTGCAAAAATTATTCCTGTCACACAAGAAATGTTTCTTATCACGCGTAAGTACATTTTAAATCTATTATAGTAGCTATTTTTTCGTAAAATAAATAAAATTTGATATGTAAACAAAATAAGATTACGTCATTTTAAAAAGTACTCATTGTACATGTAAATGCTTAAAACATGTAGAATATTTAANTAAATAACAATATATATGTCGGCGCGCGGGGCGCAATAAATTAAATAACTTAATGTTATAGTTCTCACAACACTTTCAATGTGTTAGCTAGTTTATTGCTATGGAAGTTTAAGCAGCGCCAAAGCTCTTATGCCAGAGTTAAGTGCGCGCCTGGGAACGAAGGTGACATAAATCTCCATGTTGCCTGACGTATTTGTGGACCCGTTCAAGTGCAGTATTGATGGATTAATAGCTTTACAAAAACTTTAGGTACAGAGCCATGGAACGTAGAGATTTTGGGACTCACTGTTAGAGGCATTGCACATTCGGGTTTTGGACGTGGTGGTGACTGGGCGTGGTTCACAAATTCGTCAATCGCTCCCAATTTATTAAGTCTAGGCGTCTCTAGCTTTGTTAAACTAATTCAGTAACTTTGATCTTTCTGTTAAATTTAACTGTGGACAATATTGATTAAATTGCGAACCAGTCTTTACATTCTAGTCTATAGTAAAGTTAGTTGTTTATAATCAGTGATTATAATTAGTGTTAGTATCCACTCACACGTATTCCCTATACGCCCACATAGGTAGACAGTATGAATTCAATGAGAGACCCTTCTGGTGCCGTCCGAGAGCCCGACGCTCCGACATATATAATAAAAATATTTTAATAAAATGAAACTTACTACCTTATTTCTCACGAACGAATAAAGGTATCAAATTGAAATTTATATCAAATACTTACCTAAGTCTATTGTCCCTTTAAGCAGTGAAAAAATCAAACTTCTAAGTTAACGCAATCAAAAGATACAGCAGTTTATACCGACACCTTAGACGAATTTCCGTCACACGCTAGGGAATCAAAACCTATAAGGTACTTCCCGTGAACTCAGAATCTTGAAATTCGGCACGAAGCAACGTTATACAGTGTGTCCGGGCATGTAGTGATCAAACTTTAAGGGCGTAATCTATGGACAATTTTATCGGTGAAAATACTTTAAATTTAGGGCTTGACCCATTTCTCGCATATTTACAAGGATTTAAGTTTTTAATTTTAAGTTTTCACCTCTTCCTTCAAAAACAAGTGATAGCGTGGGTAACTTAACATTAATAAGCAAATATTTTATATCATGCGATAGCCAATAAAATTATCTTCTAGTAGAAGTAGAAAACAGACACAAGTTTCATACATTTTAAGGGAGTAAGAATGGATTTAATTACAAAAAAACATGACTTTTTTCACTTCATTTTTAGTTATTTTCCAACACAAGAAAAACCAGGTCGTTAAGGTATGTTTTATTTGCATTGCATTATTAGTATTTGAGCCATTCTACAAAACGAATGTAAATTTATTAGTCTACGTCTATTAGTTTCGACGTAATTGTTGAACAAAGATACCCCTTCCCAGCGGTTTCCATAGCGCACGCGATATGCGAAAATGCACTGCCTGAAAGAATCACACAACCTGTTCCGATTACTATGGAAACCGCTGGGAAGGGGTATCTTTGTTCAACTATTACGTCGAAACTAATAGACGTAGACTAATAAATTTACATTCGTTTTGTAGAATAGCTCAAATACTAATAATACAATGCAAATAAAACATACCTTAACGACCTGGTTTTTCTTGTGTTGGAAAATAACTGAAAAAGAAGTGAAAAAAGTAATGTATTTTTCTAATTAAATCCATTCTTACTCCCATAAAATGTATGAAACTTGTGTCTGTTTTCTTCTTCTACTAATAGATAATTTTACTGGCTATCGCATGATATAAAATATTTGCCTATTAATGTTAAGCTACCCACGCTTTCACTTGTTTTTTAAAGAAGAGGTGTAAACTAAAAATTAAAAAATTAAATCGATGTAATTTTTCGAGAAATGGGTCAGGCCCCAAATATGAAGTATTTTCTTCGATAAAATTGTCCATAGATTACGCCTTTAAAGTTTGATCACTACATGCCCGGACACACTGTATACAACATTTTCACATGAACGCGTAGAGATATTAAAGTTGAAATTCATATAAAACACTTCTTAAATCTAATTGCCTCTAAACTGTGAAAAATTCTAAATCAACGCAAAAAATCATAACGTTGAGGTACTGTTAATTATGAAAAATCTAAAACGTTAAAATAACGGTATCGTTGTGGCCATGAAGCTACAGATAAAAATGGAGGGCAGAGTTTGGAACAAAACTTGAGTCAAATACCTACTTATATCTATCTCGCTCTCTGTGGCCCTACCTCTCTTTTTAGTGTGAACTGTAGTATTGCTATCTTCTGATTTAAATCTCCTTGTAAATTCTTCGAAATAGTTTACACTAACCAAATCAGAAGTTAAACAAATAAATAATTAATATTTGAAACTAAGATTACCTAGTTAAATAAAAAATCCCAAAATTGTCGGCCATTTAGGCTTAATGTGTTGGCGAATCAGGGAATTACAATCCCAATTCCTGGGTAATCGGTACCATGTGGCAACATCGGCCCAATCCGGCCCATCATGGCGGTTGTTTACTATTTTGTTTATTAAGCAGTTAATTTCGTTTGAGATTGTTTACAGGAAATAATCATTGTTTTATCACAAGAATTGGTGCAAAATTTTGTAGTGCGTGGTTGCGGTAGTACGTGGGGGAGCCACGTGGCCGCGGGTACTGACCAGCGACTGCACGAGGAAGTTCCGCTGGCGGCGCAGCTCGGCGACCGTGTTGAACACGGCGGCGTGGCCGGTGGCCTGCAGTCGCTCCGGCAGCAGTCCAGGCCACGAGGGGCCGGTGGGGGAGCCACGTGGCCGCGGGTACTGACCAGCGACTGCACGAGGAAGTTCCGCTGGCGGCGCAGCTCGGCGACCGTGTTGAACACGGCGGCGTGGCCGGTGGCCTGGAGTTGCTCCAGCAGACAGTCCAGCGCGACCAGGGTGCCGGTGCGGCCCACGCCGGCCGAGCAATGCACCACCACGGGACGCCCCACCATGTTTGACCACGCTTCGTTCACGCGCTGCAAGGAGGATATAAACAATTATAACTTAAAGACCGAAAGAAGACGAAGAATCATGTGTTGGCTCGCAGAGTTCTTGTGCACTGCGTCTACTCATAGGTGGTATAAAAGTCTCGTTAACCCCTCGTGGGAAGCTAAATAAATATGCTTGTGTTACGAATGGGTTCACCACAGCGCCGGCGGGGATCAAACCCGCGTTCCTCGGATACTGAGTGGGCTAGTCTGACCCCTTCACAGTTCGGCTACCGTCGCTAAAGCCTGGTCCGTGAGCACGTAGAATTTTGTCCAATGACCCCAAGCTACCCATCCTTATCGCTCGCGCGTAATTATATTGCTGTCGCGACTGTGCGACGGGCGCCCGCAGTGAGTGTGCGAGTGCGACAGCAACATCGGGTCGTTGGACAAAATTCTACGTGCTCACGGACCAGGCTTTAGATATGAATGGCATCTTTTAATTTTGATTCTGTATGTTTGTTTGATATCTATCTCTAAACAGAAACCTGTGTAACCGGACTTAGGCTACGGTCTCCTATTAGACGCGGCCTACGGTATTTATAGAACACCACAGCCTTAGTTCAGCATTTGAAATATGTAGGTCAAATAATATCGTAAAATCGTCGATTTGATTGAGACAGACAGAGGTTGAAAAGACAGTTATTACAATACACATGATTCATGACATTTTTACCTTGATAAACTTGAGTATAGAGTGAGGGTGTTCAGGCGCCGCGAAGTCTTTCCACATGAGGAAGTGGTACTGGCGGACGGTACGGCCCTCGCCTGAATCTTTGGCTTCCCGCGGGGAGGTAGGGGCACTAGAGTCTGATGCTTCTTTGCAGTCTGTGGAGATGAGTATGTGACAATATCAAGAATGAGCATAGAATAAAAGCGTTAACGCTCGTATTCACAAACGATGCTTGCTTAAGTGAAGCAGTAAATCGAACGCACAGCGTTAAATAGAGCTCTGTGATTGGTTCGTATGCCACCCTGTGCGTCCACGCGCACTGTGAGACCTCATATTATATTTGTGAATACGGGCGTATGACAGTCTTGCTAGAGTGGTCGATGTGTGCTGTTGTTAACGTTTATATGAACACACAACTGCATGTGTATGTCATCTTGAGATCACTCTTATTCACTGGAGAAACAAGAGCGAGTTTTGCAACACCAATAATATGCTAGATGTGCTGAAGAGTATACCTAAAAGGTCTATTTCAAGGAATCCAGTTACCATAATATTATTAGCAACTAGCGGCCGCCCGCGACTTCATTTATTTTACGCGGTTCACATTTTTTCATACATTTTTTTTTTCCCGCTAACTTCCGTTCCCGTGGGAATTTTGCAATATCCTGTTGTAACTAAGCTTTAAGTTTACTAAGGTACCTGCATGCCAAATTTCAAGCGTCTATCTTACGCGGTTTAGATTTTTTCATACAAAAGTTTTTTCCCGCTAACTCCCGTTCCCGTGGGAATTTTGCAATATCCTGTTGTAACTAAGCTTTAAGTTTACTAAGGTACCTGCATGCCAAATTTCAAGCGTCTAACTTAAGCGGTTTAGATTTTTCATACAAAAGGATTTTCCCGCTAATTCCCGTTCCCGTGGGAATTCCTAAGTATCCTATAACCTGCCCAGGAGTATGAAGAATAATTGTACCAAGTTTCGTTAAAATCCGTCGAGTAGTTTTTGTTTCTATAAGGAACATACAGACAGACAGACAGACAGACAGACAGACAGACAGACAGACAGACAGACAGACAAAAATTTTACTGATTGCATTTTTGGCATCAGTATCGATCACTAATCACCCCCTGATAGTTATTTTGAAAATATATTTCATGTACAGAATTGACCTCTCTACAGATTTATTATAAGTATAGATAATTTCTGAGGAATCGTATTTTTCATAACTAACAAAATGTTGTAAGATTATGACGTTTATTATGTTCTTACCACCATTCCTCTTAGCAATGCCGTTGTTCTCAATTATTGGTTGTCCATCTGCGTTCGTTGGCTGCTTGGTGATCCTCAGCTCTCTGACGATGTAGTCCGAATATCTGAAGGTTAAAAAGTCACAAATATTGAATAAAATTGTCACGTCTTTAGCATTATTTTGAAGAAGTTATCATTTCGGATGTTATCTTTATTCAAGCAGACGTTGAACTACAAATTAAGTGAATTGGGCAGTTAGCTTCAAGCTAGCTCAACCAGTCTAGCCAGTGTGGAGAGTGTAAGACAAAGTTTTTCTTTTTTGACTCTTTTATATTAGAGTGGGTCGTCTTCCTACAGTGGTGGTGACTAAATTACCTGATGATAATGAGCTGTGCTTGAGGTACCATCAGACAATCTGTACAAAGTATAAAGTTGTACAACACTGAACTGCCCCATATAATTATGACATTTACAGGAGGGCGGCGCCACTTGACGTTTCAGAATCGTTTGACTTTACGTGTGACGACGCGTCAAACAAAACACTGACAACTGTTGTAGTTTTAGATGCCATTTTGCAAAAGCATATTCAAATATACCAACCTCTTCTCACCAACATGATGCACAGTAATAGCGCCGAAAGCCCTCGCGCCCCGCACTTCGTCAGGCCAGTACTTGCTGCACTTGACCTTGGAGTATTCCTCCAGGTTTGTCAGCATCACGATCAGTTCAAGACCGTGCTCCCAGATCATACGCCAGAAGTCGTTGACGGTGGTGTCGGTGGGACCTTGCGCACAGATGAACTGTTTGCGTTCCTATTGATAAATAAATAAATAAAAAATATGCTTGGATATTTTATTCCAGCGACATCTAAAGTCCGGTCTGTGAGCACGTAGAATTTTGTCCAATGACCCCAAGCTACCCATCCTTATCGCTCGCGCGTAATTATATTGACAGACTATAGTCATAAATTAAGCAAAATAGTTTGTTTTGGATTTCGTCATAGAACTGTTTAGAGTAAGACCCGGTTTCCACCAAGACTGAGAAGTGTTTTGAACAACCAATCAGATTTCATTATTTCCACATCTCTCGGCTCCGCACAGCTCCGATCCACGCCGCGGCTGTCAAATTCTATAGAAAAATTTGACGGCCTGACACTTGTCCGCTCTGTTAAACTCCGCTTTAGTTGAAACCGGGCCTTATATCCTAGACCCAGTCTTTGTATTTTTTGTGACAGAGAGACTATTAACAAAAAGGAAATATTTTTGACATTTATTCTTGATGTTGGTTTATGTTATAACACGATGAGCAAATTAATATCAAAAAGATACCAGAAAATATACAAAATAAACACAGAAAAGAAGGAGGAACACGTAACAACACAGATGGTACAGTCATCCTCAAAAAATATGTTTAATTTGAATGTTTGAAATCTTACATACTATTATTTAGTCGATAAAATTCGAAAACCACTTTATTTTAGTCCAGTAAGTTCATTTCTAAAGATCTTAATTTTATTATAATCAGAATTCCCAAAAGCGTACAAATAAGTGATGAATCAATCGCGAATCAATACGGTTATTGTTACAGGAAATTACATATTTCTTACTTTTACGCATCATAGGGTAGGTACTATTTGACCCAGACTTCCTGAGGCATAGATTCTTATCTAAAACTATTGATTTATAAAAAATGAGGCTGACTGTACACGGAAATGCATGCAATACCTGATTAGGTTCCTCAGGGTCCTTAGACGGCACAGGACAGAAGAGCACAGGTTAGACACAGACAGAATGGAAACGATAGGCATCAAGCTGTATGTACAGGTGAATGGTGATAGAATATTTTGTACAGACGAGGTCACATCAAGCTAAGAAAAAGATATCGTATGTAGTTGTAATTGGAGCGTTTTTGAACTAAAGGTAGGCTTATGGACTGTCGTCTGAACTGTTCTTCTTTAAGTTAGAAGATAGCTTAATTAATGATGTCGACAATCACAGTGGAATAATAAGATTTATTCCTCCTGTCATTTACATTTAGGTGTCAATATCGTTTGAAAACTTGTACCTGCGTTTTAGTGAACAAACAAGTCATAGTGCATTTATTTTCTATGCAATATTGGTATTTCACTGCAGAACTACGAAAGTATGCAGGTTTTTAATTTGAAAGTTTTAAACTCCAATTCAACCTAAATTCTTCAATTACCTTTATACCTAACAACACCCTATATCATTTCATCTCGCTACATTCAACTCACCCTATATCCCATAACGTAGTTGGCGTTGATATAGTCCGAGCCGGCTATGCTGTCTATCTGCGACAGTTTGACCCGGGTCTGGTCGTACGCCTTGATATCCGGGTACCGGTTCTTGGGCTGGTTCTCCCGGGCCTCCGAAGCGTTGGTGGTCCGGTCCGGGAAACATTCCGGGAGCATCTGTAACAACTTGACCCGGTTTGTTTCGAGTTTTAGTTGGGTTGTAATGGGTACATGTTGATATGAGAAAAAGAATGAAATTACTACGAAGAAATACGATTATATTTTTAAATTAGACAGTCACTATGAAAATTAATAATATACTATATTAAAACATCAAAAAAGATTCATGATAAGGTCAAATTTGTTCAAATGAAAACTTTAGCAGAGAAAAAATAAATTCGGCGCACTAAGAAAACCACTAAGACGCAAATGGAGATAGTAAAATCTAGAGCATTCAATATTCATACTCACAAAATAAATAAGAATCGACAAAATTGAAAGTAAATTAACGACGCAGGTTTTAATTTTAAATAGATAGTATGTTACATTAAACTTACAGTTGTCCCATGAAGTGTTCATAAATAAATAGTATGCGTTTCGAACAAACATTTATTAATATACAGACGTTCATTTAGTAATAATAAGTTGTGTATTTTATACAATAGCTCATCCATTATCATTTACTCGCTTCTCAGTTCGATTGAAGTAGTTTTTACAAATTACAGAGATACGATGGCATAAGTGGACGATAAATAACATATACAGTGTGAGTCACGTTAAAGTGTACATATGAAAAAAGATGAAACTAGACCTATTTTTATCGACAAAAAAGAGGTCAAAAAGTTTTTGAGATTTTTTTTTAATTTTTTATATAATTTTTTTTCTTCCAATTACTTATTATAAAGAAAACGTATTAACTTTTAAACTAAGCGGTATATCCTGATAAAATAAAAATAATAATAATGCTAAATAACAGGCGATACTAAAAAAATACAAAAAATACACAAAAAAGGCCAACAAATAATAAAAAATGATACTTTTTGAAAAATAATTGCTTTTAAATTCGTGTTTTTTTGGTTATTTGATAAATTTCTCCAAAAAATGCCCCTATAACCGGTGGTTTTTATTACTTTGTATTATTTTCTATCGTATTACCTTCGTAAAACCAAAAATCGCATGTCTCTATCCCTATCACAACGTTTGTAATGATCGTTTGAACTAAGCCTCTCCGGGCGCGCCATTCAACGCTTCGTTAACAACGAAATTGAAAATGGCTCTAGATTTGTAATTTTGATAAAGACAAGTTAGATTTCAAATAAAAACAAAAGATTTCGAGAGTAAAATAAGAATTTTAGGTAAAATTAAAATTGTCTCTACCTGAAGCGGAGAATAATGTTGTGGCAGGCCTTTGTTCAAACGATGATAGCAAATGTTGTGATAGGGATAGAGACATGCGATTTTTGGTTTTACGAAGGTAATACAATAGAGAATAATACAAAGTAATAAAAACCACCTGTTATAGGGGCATATTTTGGAGAAATTTATCAAAAAACCAAAAAAACACGAATTTAAAAGCAATTTTTTTTCAAAAAGTATCATTTTTTATTATTTGTTGGCCTTTATTGTGTATTTTTTGTATTTTTTTAGTATCGCCTGTTATTAAGCATTATTACTGTTTTTATTTTATCAGGATATACCGCTTAGTTTAAAAGTTATTACGTTTTCTTTACAATAAGTAATTGGAAGAAAAAAATATCTATAAAAAATTTAAAAAAAATCTCAAAAATTTTTTGACCTCTTTTTTGTCGATAAAAATAGGTCTAGTTTCATATATTTTCATATGTACACTTTAACGTGACTCACACTGTATTTACAATATAGCTTATTATGTCACACTGGTTTGGACTTATCTGTACAAAGGATGTAAAATATATTTTTTTGTTTTTTTTCTCGCAGCATAGTGGTTGCTTTAGGTGCAACTTTGCCTATGATGCATACGCACTTTTGACTGCGCCCAGTAAGGGATGAATTAGAAGATGGCTTGATTAGCAGATTTCGTATTGTCAAAGAATTTATCATCATCATCTCAGCCATAGGACGTCCACTGAACATAGGCCTCCCCCAATGCTTTCCATGTTGCCCGGTTGCTAGCGGTGTCAAAGTGTCAAAGAATTAAAGCAGTATAATACCTCGAACTCCTTCTGGAAGCCGTAGTCGGAGTCCAGCTGCCTCTCGGCATAGGCCGCCGCCAGCTCATCCTTGGGTATCGGCGGCATGTCTGGGGGAACTGTGGAGATCAGTTGCTGCCGGCCTCCGATGTGACCGACCACGTATCTGGAGATAATAATAATATGTATGTTGAAGATAGGTGTGAAAGAATAGTTATTGTGTGTATACAGGGTGTCCCAGAATGGGTGAATCAAACTGCTAGGGGAGGTAGCTCTACTAATGTACTATCCGTTCGGATTTTCTTTTTAAATAACGTGCTCTAAACTCGAAATCTAGTCATTATTTTCAAAAGTTTGTTTACAGATAATTGAAGCGATAATGTACACTAAAATTAATATTAGTAAGAAAAAAGTACAANGCCAAATTTGAAGTGTTAATGCACAGTAGTTTTTGAATGATGAGGAGTCAAAAGTGGCGCTAATTGGTTCGTCTAAATATACGCACGGTGCAGTCCCCTCCATGGAACTAGGCTTAACATGCTCCCACATGTCTATAGTGTTTGCTCAATGTTGATTTAGTCGATTTTCTCCTGAAAGGAACATGTAAGACAACAATAAAATTTCCAATTTTACAGACCTTCTAGAGCAGATGCCGCAAAAACTATACAAGATATAGAAAAACTTGACGGTCTCACCTGTAGCAAATTAAATAAGCTTTTTTTGGTTCATAGTAGTCATGTCACTAGGATGCATAGTTTCCGAGGATTAAGCGAAAAACCGAAAAGTGATACCTTTAAACCCCCCTCTCCTTGCCGGCTCAAGGGCTAAGGGCGGGGACTTTTGCTATGTTCACCACCTAACTAGGCTAAATAAAGTCCCGAGGTCAGAAATTGTGTTCCACGGATTTCTCTCTACACCGTCGTTAAGGCATTCATTGACTGGACTAACTAGTAAAATCATTAAAACGCAAATGGAGACAGTAAAATCTACTATAGCATTCGACATTCATATCCACAAAATAAAGAAACAATAAGATTGGAAGTAAATTATTAAAACAATGCAAGTATTTTATTTCAATATGTAATTAAATGTTACATAAAACTTACAGTTGTCCATGAAGAGTTCATAAACAAATAGTATGCGTTTCGAACAAACATGTATTAATATACAGACGTTCATTTAGTAATAATAAGTTGTGTATTTTATACAATAGCTCATCCATTATCATTTACTCGCTTCTCAGTTCGATTGAAGTAGTTTTTACAAATTACCGAGATACGATGGCATAAGTGGACGATAAATAACATTTACAATATAGCTTATTATGTCACACTGGTTTGGACTTATCTGTACAAAGGATGTAAAATCTTTTTTTTTGTTTTTTTCTCGCAGCATAGTGGTTGCTTTAGATGCAACTTCGCCCATAATGCATTGCGTATGCATACGCACTTTTGACTGCGCCCAGTAAAGGATGAATTAAAAGATGGCTTGATTAGTAGATTTCGTATTGTCAAAGAATTCATCATCATCATCATCATCATCTCAGCCATAGGACGTCCACTGCTAAACATAGGCCTCGCCCAATGCTTTCCATGTTGCCCGGTTAGTAGCGGTGTCAAAGAGTCAAAGAATGAAAACAGTAAAATACCTCGAACTCCTTCTGGAAGCCGTAGTCGGAGTCCAGCTGCCTCTCGGCATAGGCCGCCGCCAGCTCGTCCTTTGGTATCGGCGGCATGTCTGGGGGAACTGTGGAGATCAGTTGCTGCCGGCCTCCGATGTGACCGACCACGTATCTGGAGATAATAATGTATGTTGATGATAGGTGTCAAAGAATAGTTGTTGTGTGTATATCATCATCATCATCATCATTTCAGCCATAGGACGTCCACTGCTGAACATAGGCCTCCCCTAATGCTTTCCACGTTGATCGATTGGTAGCGGCCTGCGTCCAGCGCTTCCCTGCTACCTTAACGATGTCATCGGTCCACCTTGTAGGTGGACGTCACACGCTGCGTTTTCCGGTACGCGGCCTCCACTCCAGAACCTCGCTGCCCCATCGGCCGTCAGTTCTGCGTACTATGTGCCCTGCCCATTGCCACTTCAGCTTGCTAATCCGTCGGGCTATGTCGGCGACTTTAGTTCGATTACGGATTTCCTTATTTCTGATTCGATCTCGCAAAGAAACACCAAGCATAGCCCTCTCAATAGCACGCCGTGCAACTTTGTGCTTTTGTATAAGGCCTATAGTGAGAGGCCACGTTTCCGAGCCATAAGTTATCACTGGTGTATATAATACTTTATAACTGAGCCTTTTTTAGCAGAACAAGGTACATTTTTGACTACAATCGATCGAAGCAAATACATAAAAATATTCTTATTACACTAGTAGTGAGATGCAGTCTAGAGTGGTACATACCAGCTCAGTAAATGCCCTTTTATGAAAAGTAGTAAAAAATGGCCATTTGATTTCAAATGAATCTTCACTTAATCGTGAGCTAAGAACCAGAGACAATCGATTATAGTAGTGTTGCCATTATCTCCACTTTTTTAGGCAAATGTCGGACAGTACGGATCAACGATACAGCAAACTTGAATACAAATAAATGTATTTTTAAATTGCATGAGTAGTCTCATAAGGTACCTTGGAGCTTTAGATTGGTTCAATATAAATATTCCGATCACTTTACCCAATGTAAAACTTGAGAGTGGTTTTGCAAACCGGACCTTATTCACTTATGCTTTAAAGCTCATTCTAGTTTTGCCTTACCTGAGAGCCTGCTGTATGCGGTTCATCTCATGCGCCGGCGGCGGCAGCTTGCGTGAGCGCCGCGTTTGGAGAATGCAGAATATTATCATGCCCAGTAGAACGACAGCTGCGATGGCACAAGTCACCTGTGGAATGTAAAAGTATCTTTTAACATTGTAGTAAAACCAAGAGAAGTCTTTAATGAGCCATATATCCGCTTTGCATTGAAGGGAAGTCGAACCTTAACTTCGATTCGAACTCCGCCTATGTTCCTCTGATTAATTTGAAAGAAAGAAACATTTATTACGATGAACATCACTTAGTTAATGACAAACCGACCGCAAAGAGCGCAGTACGTAAATCTCCTGTACCAACCACCATGTCGCTACGATATCTACAAAAGAAATGCATATAGGTAACATGTGCATTAAAATATTTAATAATCTTCCTGACTATATTAAGTTGCTACAGGGTAGGGAATTCAAAATAGGGTTGACAAATTGGTTGCATACAAATTGTTTTTATTCACTTAAGGAATATTATGACTGGAGGAATTATTCTGACTGTAAACAAATTAGGTAGATGTTATTTAAATTTTAATTAATAATAAATTGACTTGTGTAAAACATTTGCATGCTGGTCCACATTTGGCTAATGACGTTTTCTGCTCCATTTCATTATGTAGCATCTAATGTACCACATTCTGCAAATAAATAATTTTCCTTTTCATTTTCAAAGAAGGTATACGGAAAAAAAGACAGAAATAGCATATAAATATTACAAGGAAATAAAAAGTGAACTGAGCAGTGCTACCCTGTTGCAACAGCGATGCCCATCGCAATGGGACTCCACTCAGCATGTTTTCAGTGTGCCCCATAATTTGCGAACGTTGCGGGTTCAATGACAGTTTAACTTTCCCTCGGGAAAAACTTGACCTTCACTGGTTGGGTTTTATTGACGGTCAATTTGTAGATACTTTCTACACAGGAGTTGCAGCACTTGCAGCGATGAAAGGAATTAGTCGAACAGTACTTTTACATCTAGAAACTGCTTGTCATTTGAATTACCTAACCATTTAACTTTCGAGTACTGACTTACTAAAGCAGTTTAGTCAAGGTTTGTGTCGGATTTTATCATGCTTTTTTCATATCGAAGTCTATAATGTGGTAGGTATAATCTGTTTATTTTATTTGGGATAAGATTTCTTTTTTGTTCTTTTATGTATGTTTTATCTTGTATTGTGCCTATATCTTGTAGAGCCAGGGTCCTTTTTGGCATAGGGCACTTATAATCAATTTTATTTTAATTGGGATAAGGTTTCTTTTTTTTTCTTTTATGTATGTTTTATCTTGTATTGTGTCTATATCTTGTATTGTGAATAGTGCCAAATAAACAATATTCTATTCTATAACCAGGTATAAAGTACTATTTACCTGCAAAGCAACTTCGAGAGGTGTGGAGGCGACGGCAACCGGCGGCGTTGGTGCCGGCGTAAGCGCGTTTACATACTCGCTGTATATCGGCGCCACGTCAATCAGCTCAGCTGTTGACGTACAATATACTCAATGAGGGCTATCGTTTTAGCGCTCACCAGTTAGCGCCACTGTAGAGTAAGGTCCTGTCACTTGCTAGTAGCGAAGACAGTGGCCCCAACTTGTGAGCGCTAAAGTGGTAGGAGGACTATCGCATTTGCACTCATCAAGATGGCGCCACTGTTGAGTAAGGTCCTGTCAATCGCCAGGGGTGCCAACTGTTAAGTATAAAAACGATAGCCCTCATTATTTATTGCATTTCACAGCGTATACAGAAATATTTTTGATCACCAGATCAATGGGTTACCGTCTTTTGTTCATTAGTTGGTGCAAATGGCGAGTAAGGTTTGACTATAGTCTGGTCTGCGAGCACGTAGAATTTTGTCCAGTGACCCCAAGCTACCTATCCTTATCGCTCGCGCGTAATTATGTTGCTGTTGCTTTCGCACACTCACTGCGGGCGCTCGTCGCACAGTCGCGCGACAGCAATATAATTACGCGCGAGCGATAAGGATGGGTAGCTTGGGGTCATTGGACAAAATTCTACATGCTAGCAGACCGGGCTTTAGACTTGATAAATATGCAAATTGGTGAGTGAAAATACTGATAACTTCGAATATTATAGTTGTGGTCACCATTTGGCGCCTCTGCGAGTGACAGGACATTACTCGCCAGTGGCGCCAACTGTTGAGCCCGCATTGTTCGAAATGTTGAAATACACAATTTATGGGCATAGAATCAGTGGTTCCCAAACTTATTTAGTCTACTGCCCACTTTGATAATAAATTATTTTTTAGCGCCCCCCATTTTTGTAGTCAAGAGTCGAACTCAGTCGGTGTCTAAGAGTCCTCCTAGTAGATGACGCCTCCCAAGCCTCTACACAACGTCCCGATTTTTTTTCTGGGTCTCTTACCGCCTCCCCCTTTAAGCCTGCAGCGCCCACAAGGGGGCGTTATCGCCTACTTTGGGAAAGACTGGCATAGATGACAGTCCAGAGAATACGGAGACAAAGATTGAAATTAGAGACAATAATGAATACTTACTGATGCACTCCACAAACATAGTGTAGTTGGAGGTGGAGTCCAAAGGTCCATCGTTGGGTCTCAGCTTCATGTCAGGCTTGTCATCTTCGTTTTTATCCCTCATCATTGGGTTGTTGTTGTAATCGCTGGAAATAAGGTGGATATTCCTTTAATATTTGCTTAACAAAGAGTAGAGGTCGAACGAGTAAATAAATCTTCATGCTGATGTCCAATGTCAATGACGAATTTAAAGTTTGCTTTAAACGAATTAATACTGACAAAGTAATATTTCTTGTCAAGTTAATTTCTCGATCGCTTTACGGAGCGAAGTGGTTATTTATTTAAAAAAACCGCACCGAATCGATTTGGAGTTTTTAGTACATGTTCGTTTGATGTTACGGCAGGCCTGTTCATCTCCGCGAGTTTACATCGAAAACAAAACACGCACGATGGCCCACCTACAGGATACTATTCGACAAGGCCTCACATACGAGCGAACATTGACTCACGCACGCGTATTCTTGTGTATGATGGAAGAAAATAAAGAAAATGGTGTACTAGAAATACTGTGCAGTATTTAACTGCCTAAATAATAATAAAAACACAGAATGTACTTTTTTAAGTTGCCTCAAGACACTGAGAGGTAAATAAGTAGTTAATATTTTTCATGATAATTCATGCTAAATCATGTATTTCCTCCGCCTCTTTCCGCAGTTTGGCACCTCACGTCACATCATTTTACCGAAGTCAGCCCTATAGCATCGGCGCAGTGCCGACCACTGACGTTTGTCAACAAAATGGTGCTTGACTCTTGAGACAGGCTAAATTGCACCATATTGTTAATGACGTTGAGCATACATTTTTTTAAATACCTTCGCGAAGTAAAACTTCTGTACGTAGTACTTATTATTATTCTGTGGTTACGGTTGATCTTTGTGGACAGACAATTTATAACTTTCGCAATCCGCATTTCGCTGCGGACCAAATACAAAAGCGGCATAGATTTTGTGGTCAAGCTAGAATAACAGTAATATTTTGTACCCTGGGATTTTAGCTAGTAAGCACTAAAGCTAAAATCAAGTGGCAGTGGGCGGGGCACATAGCTTGTAGAGACGATGGCCGTTGGGGCAGAAAAGTTCTCGAGTGGCGACCACGGGCTGGAAGACGTAGCGTGGGCAGGCCTCCTACTAGGTGGACCGACGATCTGGTAAAGGTCGCGGGAAGAGCCTGGATGCGGGCAGCGCAGGACCGTGCATTGTGGAAAACCTTGGAGGAGGCCTTTGTCCAGCAGTGGACGTCATTTGGCTGAAACGAAGCACTAAAGATAAACTATAATGAACCATACCTTCCCAAAGACCTCCGGACCTTATTAACGTTTTCTTCGACTTCCAACACGTCCTCGGTGGTATCATCCAGTAAATCATCTTCAGTAGTAGTCGGCATAGAAGTGGTGGTGCTGGTTGTGGTAGTGGGAGGGACTGGCAAGTCTGGAGGCAGCCGCCGAGGTTTCAACAGGCACCGTCGGCAGGCGTCTTTGGCGAAAACTGGTTCCTTCTCGTCGAATAGGCTTTTCCTGTCGCCCATTATTAGTTCGGAATCCGAGGGGAATTTGTCGCTGGAAATAATTAGGAACTGTTGGTTAACCGATTGAGTCCCAGACGGCATTAATTAATATCATAACAATTGATTTATGTACTGTGTCTAGATTCGCGGAGCTTGAAGGATTAATTATGTTGAAAATAACGTGATCTTCGTGGGTACAATTTCAATGAGGGATTCCTTAAATGCGTCCAGTACACTGCACTGGCGAGTAACATCCTGTCACTTGCTAGTGGTTAAGACAGTGGCGCCACTGTCGATCATTATACCAAACTTGGTTTATGGCTGAATTGAAGTTTATTTTTTATTTTCCTTTTCTCGGTGTTTTTTTACTCATATCATATAACATTTAGAGTCATAATTGACAACAATTTTTTATAGATGTCCTACACTGAAATGTCCCATCCGTTTGGTTGACAGGGGGCGCCACCGTCAATACCGGATCGCTGGTTCCGATTCTCGCAACTGAAATGTCATTTGCAGGAGGGCGCTGCCATCAATGCCGGTTACTGTTTCCGATCTTTGCCATTTGACGTTTCAAAATCGTTCGACTATAAAAGCGCATTCACACCTTTATGACATAAACGGCAAGTTGGAATGTAAAGAAGCATACTTGGAGAAGACATCAGTGATGTAGGCGCCTAGCACCGGTTGAACAGCATGTGCCTCCTCGTAGTCGATGATGCTGATGTCCCGAGGAGAAGGCAGGTTCTTCCAGTCCGTGTTGGGCAGCATTCGGACCATGTGCACCCTGGGAATAGTTGGCAGAAACAAATTATATTAATCACACTGATCATGGACCCCTTTGGCTATTGATACACTTTTTATTAGTTGTCGAAACATAACTCTTTTCTAGATTTTGTATATTAATGCAGATGATGTCATTAGGTCCATGCAAAAAAGAGTACTCTGCTAACTAGCCGTAACTATAACGATGACCGGTGATATTTGTATTGAATTAGACAGATTTTTGTCGTTTGTTAAAGTTTAAGTAAGATGTTGCAATCCAGCCAATATGATGTAGGTAAGTTTGTAACCGACATACCTGTAGCAGCAAATAGGGCCGTTGCGCTCAGTTATTCTCGGCAGGTACATCTTGAACATGAATTTGTCCTCCTCCAGTATCTAGAAAACGAAATCATGACTATTGTTACGTGTTAACACCAAATGCGCCTGCATGTGAGGGCTTAGACTTTTGTCTGGTCTGTGAGCACATAGAATTTTGTCCAATGACCCCAAGCTACCCATCCTTATCGCTCGCGCGTAATTATGTTTCTGTCGCGCTCGCACACTCACTGCGGGTGCCCGTCGCACTGTCGTGACAGCAACATAATTACGCGCGAGCGATAAGGATGGGTAGCTTGGGGTCATTGGACAAAATTCTACGTGCTCACAGACCGGGCTTTAGAAGATGTCCACCAAAGCGAAGCGGAGAAGAGATGTGTAAATAGTTATTCAAAACACTTCTCTACCTTTGTGGAAACCAGCGGGGCTACTCCGAAACACCGTTTACGTAGTTTCGTGTCTATCTGTTACCGTCGCTCGCGCTGGCATGCGTAAGAGGGATAGTAACATTCGAAAGTTTGAAACTTCGCTGGCTTGAGCGCAGACTAGGCGGCAGTTAATAATGGGGGGAGGGGCGCAACTTACAGCCCTGCCTCATCTCCGCGAGTATGCATCGAAAACAAAACACGCACGACATACTCTCGGTACGTCGCCGCGTGCGCGTCATGGCGCCAGGCGGGCGGTGCGGCTGCTGCGTCGAGATGACTCTCACCTTGCGCCACCGCGGGCGGGGCGCCGCGTGCGCGTCATGGCGCCAGGCGGGCGGTGCGGCTGCTGCGTCGAGATGACTCTCACCTTGCGCCAGCGCGGGCGGGGCGCCGCGTGCGCGTCATGGCGCCAGGCGGGCGGTGCGGCTGCTGCGTCGAGATGACTCTCACCTTGCGCCAGCGCGGGCGGGGCGCCGCGTGCGCGTCATGGCGCCAGGCGGGCGGTGCGGCTGCTGCGTCGAGATGACTCTCACCTTGCGCCAGGCGCCGCGTGCGCGTCATGGCGCCAGGCGGGCGGTGCGGCTGCTGCGTCGAGATGACTCTCACCTTGCGCCAGGCGCCGCGTGCGCGTCATGGCGCCAGGCGGGCGGTGCGGCTGCTGCGTCGAGATGACTCTCACCTTGCGCCAGGCGCCGCGTGCGCGTCATGGCGCCAGGCGGGCGGTGCGGCTGCTGCGTCGAGATGACTCTCACCTTGCGCCAGGCGCCGCGTGCGCGTCATGGCGCCAGGCGGGCGGTGCGGCTGCTGCGTCGAGATGACTCTCACCTTGCGCCAGGCGCCGCGTGCGCGTCATGGCGCCAGGCGGGCGGTGCGGCTGCTGCGTCGAGATGACTCTCACCTTGCGCCAGGCGCCGCGTGCGCGTCATGGCGCCAGGCGGGCGGTGCGGCTGCTGCGTCGAGATGACTCTCACCTTGCGCCAGGCGCCGCGTGCGCGTCATGGCGCCAGGCGGGCGGTGCGGCTGCTGCGTGGAGATGACTCTCACCTTGCGCCAGGCGCCGCGTGCGCGTCATGGCGCCAGGCGGGCGGTGCGGCCGCTGCGTGGAGATGACTCTCACCTTGCGCCAGCGCGGGCGGGGCGGCGAGTGCGGCGGGGCGGGGGGCGTGCTGCAGTGGCGCGTCTCCTCGTCGCCGCGGCGCCGCGTGCGCGTCATGGCGCTCAGGCGGACCGTGTAGTTGCTGTTCGGTTGCAGGTCGTCGAACCTAGATAAATGTCATGAATGTCAAAATATCATCGATGTATAATAGATAAATAATAATACAGATCGGGTGCTTAACTCAGTCAGGCCTCGGCCGCACTCATCGCGATAACATTCGGGCTGTTACGGATAGCCCTCGCACCCTATATTGCTTACTTGACATTTCGCCTTTTGCCGACTCATCCTTTTCCATCCATAGCCTGCGATCCCTCGCATCTCCAAGTAAGTCTCAATCCACCATCCGAACTAGACGGCTGTCTTATCCTATTAATCTCGTGTTCTTTTTTAAAAACCCAAATCCTCAGAGGCTCATAACAGGGCGATAAACTTCGTCTTCGGGCTACGACGAATCTTCGCGGCCACATATAATAGACGAAGTTTATCGCGATGTACAAACGCAAAAACAACATGGACGCCGCGGTTGCTCTGTCTTTTATTACAGCAAATAATTTCTTTTCTTTTATGGCCAGTTTCTAATGGGTTCCACAATATCGGCTCAGCCTCATAATTCGCAGTGAATTCTAAAATTTTTTCGTTGCTTCAATCCATGCTCGTTCAGCACTGTAGTGAAAACTATAACACGTCCGCTTTGCCGATGCGTACGGGCCGACTGAAGTGTGGCCGCGCACCGCGAAGTTCATCGCGATAAAACCCTTTCATGTGCGACAGAGTTTACCGACAGCGGAGCGATAAGCCTGAAGCTTCGCCCGAAGTGCCGAAGGGTTCGCGAATACTTGGCTACACACATCGCGATAACGTGAATATTCGGGTTATCGCGATGAGTGCGGCCGAGGTATCAGTGATTGAAGTATGGCAACGGCATGGGAGTGTGTTTTTTGAGATGTCACACGTCCACAAGACGATTTCTTTCAGATTAGTGTGCTTTGTCACGTCATGCAATTAATGTCGCCCCTCCCATGGTGGCGCTCCCATACCTCAGTTAGAGGTGCAGAACTGAGTTAAACGCTAGAACTATAGTAGATTTAGGAGAAGACTTTATGGGTTACTTATTATGGGACTTACCTAGCAGCTCTGGAGTCGTTGGCCATGAATCTAGCGAGGGGACCCCACATGTCTTCCTTCACAGTTCCGAATCGGTCTCTGTACGTGGCGTTGCCCGTCAACTCAATCTGAAAAGAATACGTAAAGGAGTTAATGCAGCTCAGAAGTTAATAATAATCCCGTTAGCCCCTCGTATTAAGCTTAATATGCTTGTGTCACAATAAAATTCAATACACTCACCGAGTACCCCTTGATATTTGCCGTTTCAACCAAAGGACGTCCACTGATGGACCATTGCCACCCAAAGAACATTCCACAGACCGCTTCTGCTGCCCGCATCCAGGTGCTTTCTGACGACCTTGATGGACACAAAAGACCAAGACAACTTACCCAGATCCCGCGTTCCGGGGGCCCCTTCTGCTCTCAAAAAATACCTTTTTCCAAATGAGAAGAGCCCCCATTGATCCTTAAGTGCCCAGGGCCCCTAGTAAATTAAACACGGCCCTACTCTCAAGCTGCTGCTTATTCAATACACACACCGAGTATCCCTCGATTTCCGTGTTTTACCATGTAGCATAATATTTGTAGTTTCCACCAGAGGACGACCACTGATAGACAATTGCCTCCCCAAGGATTTCCACAACGACCGCTTATGCTGCCCACATCCAGGTGCTTTTTGGTGCCCTTCATCATCGCCATCATTTCAGCCATAGGACGTCCACTGCTGAACACAAGCCTCCCCCAATGATTTCCACAAAGGCCGGTTGGTAGCGGCCTGCATCCAGCATCTTCCTGCTACCATTATGAGGTCATCGGTCTGGTGATCTTAATGGACACAGAAAAACCAAGACACTATATCTATCAAACTCACCGAGTACCCCTTGATCTCAGCGTTGGGCTTCCTCGGCGGTTCCCAGGCCAGCTTTATGAAGCCGCCGGTGCAGTGCACAATATCCTGTTCTCTCCCAAGCAAGCCCCTCTTTCCAACTGGGCCCGCGTTCGAGGGGCCCCAGTATGCTTTCAAAAAAGACCTTTTTCCAAATTAGAAGAGTCTAGGGCCCCTAGTAGATTTAAGACGGCCCTGCTGCCAAGCTGCTGCGCCTTATTCAATACACTCACTAAGTACTGAGTTTCAACCAAAGGACGTCCACTGATGGACTTAGACAATGGCCTTCCCAAGTATTTCCACAACGACCGCTTCTACTGCCCGCATCCAGAAGCTTTCTGATGGATACAAGAGACACTATATCTATTACACTCACCGAGTACCCCTTGATCTCAGCGTTGGGCTTCCTCGGCGGCTCCCAGGCCAGCTTCATGAAGCCGCCGGTGCAGTTCACGGTGACGTTGCTGGGCTTCCCCGGGATGCCGTCCAGTGTGGCCGCTTCCATCTTCTCGGACCACTGCCCGCATTGCTTCGAGTAGTCCGAACCGAATGCTCTCCCACTTGCCGTTTCAACCAAAGGATGCATGATGATAGCCTTGATCCAAAAGACCAAGACAACGTACCCAGGGCCCGCGTCCCAGGGGCCCCTTTTGCTCTCAAAAAATACCTTTTTCCAAATGAGAAGAGCCTCTATTTATCCTTAAGTGCCCAGGGCCCCNATCTTTCCAGACGGGCTAGGATGCGTGCCGTGATAAAGACTTATCGATGATTTTAGATGACAAACGTATGGGATTATCGCATAAAAACGATAAAATGGCGCGCATCCTAATCCTACAGGTTTCTGAGAAGGGGCAGTTTTAGCGTAGGCCCTTAACTCACTGAGTAGCCCTTGACCTCGGCGTTGGGTTTCTCCAGCTTTATGAAGCCGCAGTCCACAATATCCTAAGTTTTCTCCCAAGCAAGCCGCTCTTTCCAAAAAAGATATTTTTCCAAATGAGAAGAGCCCCCATTGATCCTTAAGTGCCCAAGGTCCCTAGCAAGTTAAAGACGGCCCTGCTCCCAAGCTGCTGTGTCTTATTCTATACACTCACCGAGTACCCATTTCAATCAAAGGACGTCCACTGATGAACAATGGCTTCTCCAAGGATTTCCACGACTGGTTCCTGCCCGCATTGAGGTGTCTTTTGATGGCTTTGATGGACACACATCGCTTCTGCTGCCCGCATCCAGAAGCTTTCTGATGGACACAAGAGACACTATATCTATTAAACTCACCGAGTACCCCTTGATCTCAGCGTTGGGCTTCCTCGGCGGCTCCCAGGCCAGCTTCATGAAGCCTTCGGTGCAGTCCACGGTGACGTTGCTGGGTTTCCCCGGGATGCCATCCAGGGTGGCCGCTTCCATCTTCTCGGACCACTGCCCGCATTGCTTCGAGTAGTCCGAACCGAATGCTCTCCCACTTGCGTTTCAACCAAAGGATGCACAAGGGCCGCCCCTAGGATTTTCAAACGACCAGTTCTGCTGCCTGCATCCAGGTGCTTTCTGATAGCCTTCCAGGGGCCCCTTCTGCTCTCAAAAAATACCTTTTTCCAAATGAGAAGAGCCCCTATTGATCCTTAAGTGCCATGGCCCCTAGTAAGTTAAACACGATCCTGTTTCCAAGCTGCACTTTATTCAATACACTCACCGAGTACCCCTTGATATTTGCCATTTCAACCAAAGGACATCCACTGATGAACAATGGTTTTTCCAAGGATTTCCACGACTGGTTCCTGCCCGCATCCAGGTTTCTTTTGATGGCTTTGATAGACACACAACGATCGCTTCTGCTGCCCGCATCCAGGAGCTTTCTGATGGACACAAGAGACACTATATCTATTACACTCACCGAGTACCCCTTGATCTCAGCGTTGGGCTTCCTCGGCGGCTCCCAGGCCAGCTTCATGAAGCCGCCGGTGCAATCCACAATATCCTATGCTCTCTTCCAAGCAAGCTCCTCTTTCCAACTGGGCCCGCGTTCGAGAGGGCTGTTTGCTCTCAAAAAATATTTTTTTCCAAATGAGCAGAGCCACCCTGGATCCTTAAGTGCCCATGGCCCCTAGTAAGTTAAACACGATCCTGTTGCCAAGCTGCACTTTATTCAATACACACACCGAGTACCCCTTGATATTTGCCGTTTCAACCAAAGGACGTCCACTGATGAACAATGGCTTCTCCAAGGAATTCCACGACTGGTTCCTGCCCGCATCCAGGTGTCTTTTGATGGCTTTGATGGACACACAACGATCGCTTCTGCTGCCCGCATCCAGAAGCTTTCTGATGGATACAAGAGACACTATATCTATTACACTCACCGAGTACCCCTTGATCTCAGCGTTGGGCTTCCTCGGCGGCTCCCAGGCCAGCTTCATGAAGCCTTCGGTGCAGTCCACGGTGACGTTGCTGGGCTTTCCCGGAATGCCGTCCAAGGTGGCCGCTTCCATCTTCTCGGACCACTGCCCGCATTGCTTCGAGTAGTCCGAACCGAATGCTCTCCCACTTGCCGTTTCAACCAAAGGATGCACAAAGGCCGCCCCAAGGATTTTCAAAACGACCAGTTCTGCTGCCTGCATCCAGGTGCTTTCTGATAGCCTTGATGGACACAAAAGACCAAAACAACGTAACCAGGGCCCGCAATCCAGGGGCCCCTTCTCTCTCAAAAAATACCTTTTTCCAAATGAGAAGAGCCTCTATTTATCCTTAAGTGCCCAGGGCCCCTAGTAAGATAAAGACGGCCCTGCTCCCAAGCTGCTGTCTTATTCTATACACTCACCGAGTACCCCTCGATATTTGCCGTTTCAACCAAAGGACGTCCACTGATGAACAATGGTTTCTCCAAGGATTTCCAGGACTGGATCCTGCCCGCATTGAGGTGTCTTTTGATGGCTTTGATGGACACACAACGATCGCTTCTGCTGCCCGCATCCAGGTGCTTTCTGGTGCCTAAAAGAAGACACTATACCTATCTATTACACTCACCGAGTACCCCTTGATCTCAGCGTTGGGCTTCCTCGGCGGCTCCCAGGCCAGCTTCATGAAGCCGCCGGTGCAGTCCACGGTGACGTTGCTGGGCTTCCCCGGAATGCCGTCCAAGGTTGCCGCTTCCATCTTCTCGGACCACTGGCCGCATTGCTTAGAGTAGTCCGAACAGGCGGACACCTATTATGAAAGTCAAATAAGAATTCGTCTATTTTGCAAGTAGGCTTTTTCAGAAGCTCTTTTACATGTCCCAGTTTGTTTTAAGTCTACCACTGCTTCGGGACAACAAATGGGTCAGTGTTGAGAAGAACTTAGTCACTATTGTCAGCCTTTATTTCAAGAGTTTACAAATCAATCATTTTTATTTAACTATAAGTGATTTCTAAACTATACAAATTATCAAAAAACTGACTACTGATTCTAAAAGTGCTTCACGAGCTCTAGTTTACCGAATAAGTGAAAAACGAGCGTATTGATTGAACGGCACATTTTTACAAAGAGTGAAGGCAAGTACAGTTAGTGTGTTGCGGGTAAAATGCACACTTGCTGTGAGCATTACGCCGAATAGAGCGCCGAGCATTGGCAGTAACGTTACACATAAAAATGCTCCAGAAAGTGCTTTAGTGTATATCCACCTTTGCTTTTACACGGAGATGTCAGTCACAAGAAGAATGATATTGTTTACGCGCCTTCAGTGCTGTCAACCCGTTTGAAATCAGGCAAATACAGGTAATATTTCAGTATTATTTATCCGCGTATCGCGTTAAAACACCTGTTTAAATTAATTAAAATTATGCAACGCGTAAGTTTAAAATTAATTTGGTCTGATCTGATATTGCTCCTTTAGTGTAAACTATCAGATATAATTTGTGGTAGCTTCTGTAGAACTTCAGAAGTTAATAGTACATGTTAATTTCTTATATGGATTTTAGAGTCGTAAGATTAGCTCAAAGCTATATGACAGAAGCTTTGGTCTGTATTGTAGGGATAATAATCGCTACTCTAGCCTCTACACACTGCCCTTATAAACTTGCTTTGTCACTTCAAGCATTATATTTTCTTACTAACACTCTTTTATTTATTTTATAGGACAACCAACAAGACATGCACTAAAACAATATTTACAACGTGTTTGAACTTAATCTAAGTGCTGCCTTAATTAAAGGATTTACAGGTTGCCACGGCATGCAATAGTGATGAATAGTGGACTTTTAAATTTAAGCAGTCGTCTTTTACGTCACATACTATAATTGCAGTTACTACTCTACTTTCATATCACTACGTTCTAAAGTAAGCTCTATTTGCAGCCATAATGTCTGTTAATCTTGTAAAATCCTACCTGAAACACGTAGGTGCTATAAGGCTCTAAATTATCGAACATGTACGGTAGATTTCTACCGTCTCTCGAGTGGTAAGCCGTGCGTGCCTTGTTGTCGTCCTTCTTCCTTGCCTCTAGTATGTAGTAGTGTATTAAGTCGGCTATATCCTTCGGTGGCGGGGGCCAGCCTATCGTCACCGAGGTCGCAGAGAATCCCTTTATAGAAATATTAGGAACAAATACCGGCTCCTTGTCCAAAGTCTTCACGATATTCTTATGTAACCATTCTCCATTTTTGACCCAATTCTTCGTCTTCACTTCCAACTTGATCTCGTACTCCGTGGATTTGTTTAGGCCGTTGATGACGAACGAAGTGTTTTTCTGTCCAATTTTCTCGCGCGTGTACAGTCTGAAGTCTTTTGAGGGTAGTTCTCTAATGAGGAGCGTGTAGAACTCTATGGGCGAGTTGTAGGCGCGGACCGTCCAGTTGATGTAGAGTTGGGTCGTGTTTATGGCTGTGACGTTGAAGCCGACGATTTCCGGCGGCGCATACACTATGACGTCAATCGCTCCTGTTCAACAAAAATACATGCGTCAGTGGTAAGTAAACATTTTCACAGAAATTATCTTTATGAAAGAAAGAAAGAAAAATATTTATTTGACAACATAAATACATTTACATCATTATAATAAATTACAAACATTACATCAAAACGATAAAGAGAGAGAAAGAAAATGTTGTCAAAAAGGTCAATCTGCCAAGACACTGATTTTCAGTGGGCGCTTTACCATAATTATCATGACATGCCCCTGCCAAGGATTCCACAACTACTGCTTCTGGGCTTCCCGCGACCTTCTAAATCGTCGGTCCATCGAGTGGGAGGCTAGTCCACACTGCAAACGTTACTTAAGAATAGCAAGCAAGACTGGTCATCGTGGAAATCCTTGGCGGAGGCCTTAGTCCAGTAGTGTCCTTTATTTGGCTGAAACGAAAGGATCAACTTACCCCTGATGACAGTATTGGAGACAGTATCGTTGATCTCGCAGACATAAGTCCCGCTGTCGTTGGCCGTGATGTGTATATCGTAGGTGCTGTTGATTCGCTTCAGTCCGACCGGGTTCGCGTTGCGAAGTTGCGGCTCCGGCGATTTTTCGTCGGTGTCGTTCTTGTACCACCGCACTTCTGTTGGCTTGTTGTACACTGTCGGACAGTTTTTGTGATATAAGTAGAGTTTAATATTGATAGAATTCATAGAGATATAGAGAGATGCTAACTAATGCGCTGAGTTCGAAACTCAGTGTCGCATTAGAAATTCACGCACACAAAGTAATCAAAATATGTGCTCATTATCCACTGCGGTATCAGTACTCAACGTTCGAATAATCTTTAGTACTACGCAAGCAATGTAAACTGTTTACATTATAACGTCGCTGCTGTCATCATTGCATACACGAGAAATGTGTTCCGTTTTTGGGCATATTGCTGCGACACCGGCCCCGCCCCTTGTCACTTGTATGGAAAAAATCATTTCTGGCCCTCTTTAACTGTCAATACTGGCTTCCTGACAAATAATTCAGTTACGAACTTTTGTGAGGTTTTAAATGTACATTTAATAACATGGTGTGTTTAACTCAATATAGGGGCATTCCACGCGAAGCGGGCAGGTAAAAAAAGTCGATGTTTCCGATTTCAGTAATATTTGAGTATGTTCTACCTATACATATTATTGATACGTGTACCAAATATTTTTGTAATATAATTACTAGTTTAAGAGTTATGGGTCTTCGAAGTTTTCGACAACCGGTTGGCATGCAGTACTTCAAAGCCGATTATGGAGTCATAAAATTATATATTNTATTATTCAGGCAAACATTACGTCACATTTAGACAATGGAGTTTAAAAGACCAACAACCGCTGATATTCAGCTGTTTCCTCAACTATTGTTTCATGTGATTCGCATAGAAACAGTCTGACCGCAAACCCAATAATGTAAAATTAAATAAACGTAGCCACTTTGCATAAAAACTAATTTTCATACAATAATTAATTCGTTTTAATACTTATCTGACGCAATTTTCATACATCCGATAGTTAATATCGCTTTAACATAATAGAACTCAGGAAAACTGTTGTTATTAGGATATTATTTGTAGTAAAATAAATATTCATATATTACCGATACTTAATTATCGCTTTTTCCTTCACATCATTCTATCAATACAGGGAAAAGTATAGTTTAATTGTTATTAAATTATTCACGAGTATACGATTTAGAATAACTAATATTTGGACGCTTTGAGCCGCACCGTGCAGTGCCCTTGCGATGCGTTCTGCGGTCTGGACTTGACCGCAGACCGCATCCAGTGTGGCAAGTCCTTTAACATTTTTGATATTGGAATTGGAACAACAACCCATCAATAGACAACTTGTGTATGGTCAGTGGCCTAATTCACGTATTTTGACAGTCAAGATCTCGCTGACGATCAGAAGTTGTCCCATTGAAAAACAGTTCTAAATCCGTATTCACAAGGTTCATTTCGATACAATGATTACTCGATAGGATCGCAACTCAGCGAATTGTTGTCATTGAAGTTTTGTTACGTCGTCCCATTGAAAACAGTTCTAAATCCGTGTTCACAAGGGGCATTTTGATAGAACGATTACTCGATAGGATCGCACTCAGTGTTTTGGTGTCGTTGAAGTTTTGTTACGTGAATAAGGCTACAGGTTTTACTTCAGAACACACGACTAATGATCCTTACTTCCCAGATTATTAATATTATTAATGCGGAAGTAGCTCTGTTATGTATGTTACGCTTTCATGCCTAAACCACTGAACCGGTTTTAGAAATTTGGTATAGATTTTTTTTTATTGTTAATATTACACAAATTACTAATATTCCCGTTAGCCCCTCGTACTAAGCTAAATATGCTTGTATCACGAGTGAGCTCACCACAATAATCAATAGGCGGCGGGGACCAAACCCACGTTTCCCGGATCACGAGTCGGCCAGTCCGACCCCTTCACCGTTCGGCTATCGTCGTGGCTCAGTAGTTAATAGTTTGAGTCCCGGGAAAGGACATAGGCCAGTTTTTGTTACGGTTTTTTTAACAAGGACGCGTGATATTTTTCCTGCGACTGACAAAATTTCATGTGGTAAAGCCGCGGGTAAAATCTAGTTCTATAAGGTCCCTCGCCCACAGCGACTTTTAACGTGCGTTAGTCGCATTTGCAACGCACTACAGAAGTGATGCCAACGCGCTACAGCAGCGCGACTGCATCGCTACAAAAAGTCACCGTGGGCAAGGGCCCTTAGACCATACAAACCTTCGAATTCGCAGTAAAGCTTAACGTGGGACGTGTCAGACACATTGAGCTTCAAGGGGCCAGCGGTCTTGGTCACTAGTTTGCCATCGAATCGGAGATCCAGATTTGCAGTCCTGTGGGAATAATTTAAAAGTTACAAAGTATGTCTGCTATAATAATAAATGTTTGTAACAGGCATTTATATGTGACATATGTCTATAGTGATTAACTCAGTCAGTGCCTGAGGTATGGGGCGGCACGGGAGGCGTGACATTGACATATTATGACGTGACAGAGCATAAGTAACAGTGTTGTATTCTTCGCCTACCAGTAAGGAAATCGGTGTGTTTTTTTAGTGATAACTGTGTTACTTGTACTGCAACCGGAGTAGTATTGCTGTGTTATAGCAGTGCCTCTTGCCCTCCGAGTATCCACGGAAGACCAGCGTCGTGGTGTCCCTTACGACACCTCGACATGATGCTGAGTGGATACCGTTTCGGTGACACGCACATTACCTACTCTCTTTACTTTTGTTAAATATTTTTAATTTGTGTCGCTGAATAAAATACTTCATTTTCATTTTTCATTTTTATTTTCATATAAATCTCAAGCAGATCTGAAGTCTCATTAATGGACGCCCCCTAGACGGCTATTCTTGTCAATTTCATATATTAGCGTCTCTGCGACTCTGACGCCAAGTGTACGAAGCTTTGAACAAAATATATGAAATTCTCGGCCACAGCCTGTCGTCGCGACTACGTCGCCGCACATGCACATACCCAATTACTAATAAAAAGTTACACCTTAGTTAGTTGAACTACACTACACATACTTCACATACCCATACTAACAAAAAAGTTACAGCCTAGTTGAACTCTGTTTTAAAGTGACATTTCCACATTAAAAGTCACTTTAAAATAGGGTTCAACTATGGTGTAACCTTTATTAATAGGATGTAAAAGTCAAACTGCCAACTTCCTCACCTGTTATCTGTGAGCTCGCCAAGTTTGGCCAGGCAGACGTAGTCGCCGGCGTCAGCATCTGTCACGTTGCTCAACGTCAACTTGACAGTTTTGCGCTTCCTCGTGTTACCATCTCGATCTTTGTCGGGCAACTTCGTTTCGATTGGTACCACTTTCAACCTGATGAGAGAAGTTTAATGAATGTTATTGAGAAGTACAATAACTAGTCAGTGGGACATAGTCCCGGATTCGATTCCCGGCCGGGCAGAAATTTAAATGATGAATTTTAATTTCTGTGACGGATGTTTTCTATGTACAATAATGTATGTATTTACAAAAAAAAAAGTATTGAAGTATGTTTATTTATATCCGTTGTCTTAAGGCGCAGTGTAAAATGTATAAGGATATTTTATTTATTTATGGTCACTAACATTAGAATTATTATAAAAGGAATTGCTAACACGTCCCTTATTTACGAGCCTCCCATATTATTTCGGCACTGTAACAATAGAGTTGCTCTGTGATCATGGCGCTTGGCATGGATTACTAATGTTTGGCCAAAAAACGTTTCCCAAATTATCACATCGCAAACAACGTTTCGCAAACTTTCATTTGGCAAATTTTCATTTGGCAAAACAACTTATTGCAAATGTTTAATTCGCAAATATCGTTTTTGGCATATTATTGTTTACCAAATTATTGTTTGGCAAAGTATGTTTTGCCAAATGTTTCATTTGGCAAAAATATTTCACGATAAACAATTTACAAAATAATTTGATTGATGCATAGAATTGAATACAAATAAGCTTGTAGTTATTATTTTGTTTCGTGGGTAGTTAAAAGTGATTTTATTTGCTTGTCAGTTTCACTAAACGCGCACAGGCGGCGGGCTTCAGGCGCGGCAGCGCGACGGCGCGGCGCTGGACGCCACCCTTCGGCAGTATTTTCAGTCTAGCTCCGAATCCACTTCCACGCCCACTTTGAAAGTTGGCATGAATGTTCTACACAATATTAGCTATTTAAATAAAAAAAATTAAAAAAATCGAAAGGGTCGAACTTTGTGAAAATCAAGGAAAAAAAATTAATTTGCATTTTTTTTAGGAAAAAATAATTTTTTTTTCGTTTCCAAAAATACAGTTAAAAAGCACGGTAAATGAAGTAATAAATCCCGTGGTTTAATTATTTTAATATATAATTTTATGACTCCATAATCGGCTTTGAAGTACTGCATGCCAACCGGTTGTCGAAAACTTCGAAGACCCATAACTCTTAAACTAGTAATTATATTACAAAAATATTTGGTACACGTATCAATAATATGTATAGGTAGAACATACTCAAATATTACTGAAATCGGAAACATCGACTTTTTTTACCTGTCCGCTTCGCGTGGAATGCTCCTATAGCCATTTTAAAGATGCGCCTTTTCGTGATTCGTCCCACGATATTTGAGACAGCAATTTCTCCCCATTATTCAGGCAAAACATTATGTCACATTATACAATGGAGTATAAAACACCAACAACCGCTGATATTCAGCTGTTTCCTCAACTATTGTTTCATGCGTTTACATCGCATAGAAACAGTCTGACCGCAAACCTAATTATGTAAAATTAAATAAACGTAGCCACTTTGCATAAAAACTAATTTTCATACACTAATTAATTCGTTTTAATACTTATCTGACGCAATTTTCATACATCCGATAGTTAATATCGCTTTAACATAATGTAACTCAGGAAAACTGTTGTTATTTAGGATATTGTTTTTAGTAAAATAAATAATTCATATATTACAAACGATACTCTTAATTATCGCTTTTTCCTTCATACAGGGAAAAGTAGTTTAATTGTTATTAAATGATTCATGAGTATGCGATTTCAAATAAATAATATTTGGACGCTTTGAGCCGCACCGTGCAGTGCCCTTGCGATGCGTTCTGCGGTCAGGCCAAAGTGAACACAGACCGCATCACATATGAACAACATTGGGCTGCGTTCACTTTGACCTGATCGCAGGCCGCATCCAGTGTGGTAAAAGTAATTTAACATTTTTGATATTGGAATTAGAACAAAAACCCATCAAGAAAACTTGTGTATGGTCAGTGCCCAGTGGCCTAATTCACGTATTTTGACAGTCAAGCTTTCGCTGAAGTCAATCTCGCTGACGTTCAGAAGTCGTCCCATTGAAAAACAGTTCTAAATTCGTATTCACAAGGTTCATTTCGATAGAACGATTAAGGTCTATTCAGACCTAAGCGGTATTCGCTACCGTCTGCGGCAGAGAAAACCCAGTGGGTATGCGGTAATAATAATACTGTTCAGACCTAAGCGGTATTTGCTACCGTCTGCGGCAGAGAAAACGCTCTAGCCGCGGTACTTGATACTAAATACCTGAGCGAAACCCGCGCGGTATGTACCTCTACCCACAGCGGCAGCGAATATCGCTCAGGTTTGAATAGGCCTTTACTCGATAGGATCGCAACTCAGCGATTTGTTGTCATTGAAGTTTTGTTACGTCGTCCCATTGAAAACAGTTTTAAATCCGTGTTCACAAGGGGCATTTTGATAGAACGATTACTCGATAGGATCGCACTCAGTGTTTTGGTGTCGTTGAAGTTTTGTTACGTGAATAAGGATACAGGTTCTACTTCAGAACACACGACTAATGATCCCTACACAAAGCATTGTCATATAATGCAAATATAGGAAAAATTGCGAAAATTACATTTTTTTAGTTATATAATATAATAAAAATATTTTAATAAAATGAAACTTACTACCTTATTTCTCACGAACGAATAAAGATAAAGGTATCAAATTGAAATTTATACCAAATACTTAGATCTATTGTCCCTTTAAGAAGTAAAAAAATCAAACTTCTAAGTTAACGCGATCAAAAGATACAGCAGTTTATACCGACACCTTAGACGAATTTCCGTCACACGCTAGGGAATCAAAACCTACAAGGTACTTCCTGTGAACTCAGAATCTTGAAATTCGGCACGAAGCAACGTTATAAATAGACGTAGACTAATAAATTTACATTCGTTTTGTAGAATAGCTCAAATACTAATAATACAATGCCAATAAAACATACCTTAACGACCTGGTTTTTCTTGTGTTGGAAAATAACTGAAAAAGAAGAGAAAAAAGTAGTGTATTTTTATAATTAAATCCATTCTTACTCCCATAAAATTTATGAAACCTGTGTCTGTTTTCTTCTTCTACTAATAGATAATTTTATTGGCTATCGCATGATATAAAATATTTGCCTATTAATGTTAAGCTACCCACGCTTTCACTTGTTTTTTAAAGAAGAGGTGTAAACTAAAAATTAAAAACTTAAATCGATGTAATTTTTCGAGAAATGGGTCTGGCCCCAAATTTGAAGTATTTTCATCGATAAAATTGTCCATAGATTACGCCCTTAAAGTTTGATCACTACATGCCCGGACACACTGTATAGTACAGATAAAGGAAAAATTGCGAAAATGATAAATTTGAAGTTATATAAAATTTAAAATATTATTTTTGCTTACATGACATAAAATATTTTTTTAATAATTATAAACTTACTACCTACCCTTTTTCACATGAACGCGTAGTAAATATTAAAGTTGAAATTCATATCAAACACTTCTTAAATCTAATTGCCTCTAAACTGTGAGAAATTCTAAATCAACGCAAAAATTCAAAACGCTGAGGTAGGTACCTACCTATAATGCAAATGTAGGAATTGAAACCCAGGTTGTATTTCTTCAGCTTTATTTGTATTTACTCCAGGATAAACCACAAAAAATAGGAAAGTCTTAGAACCGTCTTAATACTAATCGTCTTCTGTTTAAATCCCGTCGTTCTTACTTCCTCACTCATTCATTCCGTCTCACTCACTCCCTTGCGTTCCGTTTCACACTCCCACACTCGGCCATCCTGCGTACAGTCCGCCCTCGGACTGTTTCATTTCAAATTTTACATTAAAGCATCTTATATTATAACTAATCTTGTTTAATACAATTCTTATAATCATCTTTCTCGTATGTTCTAGCTTTCTTTCTTTTCTTGTTATAAACTCTAACACTTCCATCTTGAATTGTCTCCACACATTCTCTTGCCTTTTCTCTTAACTCTGGTCTTGTCTCGTTCATTCTTTCTACGTTTTCCTCTTCTATCATCTTAACAAGTTCATCATCTCCTTTATTAATCCGGTTAAACAGTCCTTCTGTCCCTCCCTCGTGATTCTCTCTTATAATTTCGTTCTGCGTCTTCTCCGGTACTACAAATAATAATTCATCTTCATCTCTTTCTTGGTACAACATGTCATTCTGGTAGGATTCTTTCAGCATCTGAATATGTTCGTCTTCATCTTGTGCTTTCTTCAGTCGTGCAGTCGTCTCGGTAAGTACTAAACAGCTTAGGACGTCGGCTTGTTTCATACGTGATACAGGTCGGTGTTCAATCTGACAGTCGTTACTTTTCTTTATTTCATCTGTAGGCTTGCAGTCTTCTAATATTTTCTCAGTTTCAGTCATGTGTCTAGAGTCGTCTATGTCGTGTACTACAACTTGATCATCTTTTTCCAACGGGACAACTTCGGTCCGTCCGAGTCCACTCAACGTCAAACATCTTCCGTCGTCGTATTTTGGGGAGCCGATAGTTTTGTACACGTCTTCCGTCATGAGATTCACCTCGCTGCCCGTATCAATAAGACTCGCCATAGTTATTGCGTTGTTGTCAACAAATTGAACTTCTTTTATTTTTTTTTTTTTTTTTTTTTAAATCCTTCCTGGCCTGGAAATTTGTACCATTGGCCGAATACTTGTAAGTTGTCAATATATTCTTTCATGTCGTTAAAATAAAATGTTTGCTTCCAGTTTGCTTCTTCTTTACACAGTTTTGAACTTTAAACTTGTCCTTTTTATAAATGTCCAACTGAAATATTATCAAAACCTATTACTTATGAATATTTATATAAATATGTAATCACTACAGTTGAACTTCTTTTAGCGGCCTCGATGTTTTCACACTTTTGTTGTTTATAGTTCCAAAATACTAGACTGTCCTGTCGATGACATTGACAGTGGGGCGCCACCGTCAATACCGGATCGCTGGTTCAGATTTTTGCCATGTTGGAAACCATATAGTTGAACGATGGTAGCGCCCCCCTGTCATTGAGTTTGGCGGGACAGTTCAGCGTGGGTCATCTATACGTCCGATACCATGAAGTTGGCAGAAATGTCATCTGTCAGTTCTGCGTTTCGTTCTATAGTTCCAAAATACTGGACTGTCCTGTTGATGACATTGACAGTGGGGCGCCACCGTCAATACCGGATCGCTGGTTCAGATTTTTGCCATGTTGGAAACCATATAGTTGAACGATGGTAGCGCCCCCCTGTCATTGAGTTTGGCGGGACAGTTCAGCGTGGGTCATCTATACGTTCGGTTTCGATCTCCAGTTAGTTGTTGATTGCGTCGTGTTGGCAACACTGTATCGTTCGGGAGTTTTCGTGAACATCGCTCGTTTCGGACTGGCATGACGTTGCTGACGATTGTCTGACTGCCATTTTGAATTTTCACTGGTCACTTGTTGATGATTTGCAGGTTTTGAACATTCACTAGATCTGTGTCCAAACTCATTACACCGGAAACATTTAACCCCTCTTTCCTTGTGAAAACATTGAGCCGAAATATGGTTGCTTCCTCCACAGTTAAAACATCTTGGTCTTGTCGTCTTATTGTAATTTACCGGTGCCGTCGTGCTGCTACTGGAGGGTCTACGTCGTTCATCCACCATTTTCGCCTTTACTGTCTCGTATACTTTCAGTTTCTCTTTCAGCTCACCGTATGTAGTTGCACCGTACAGCATGATTTTATTGGTTTCTACGTCAACAATGCCGTCTATGATATATTTTATTGCGACGTAGTCGGGCATTTTCCCGCGCCTTCCCAACTCCTTCATGACAAGTAGGTAATCAGTACAGCTCTCACTATTGGCCTTCTTTCTCGCACTCATCATTTCGTGGACTGTCTTTACGTCTAACGAATCCGGGAACTCTTTGAGTAAACCAGTTTTGAACTCGTCCCACGACCTGAATGGCTTCTCCGACCGCAACCAGAGTGCCGCTGTTCCAATGAGTGATCTGCGTCCCACAATGAGTTGGTGTAATGGTGACCAACCAAAGATCTCAGCGTTCTCCTCCACCTCTTGGACCCATCTTGATGCGGTGACAGTTTGGTCTCGACCACTAAATTTTGGGATCAGCTCCTCGGCATAGGCAAAAGTAGTAGGTATGCGCTGCTCCAGGGTCTTACTCGGGCCAGCATCTTCCGCATCTTCGAAATCATGCTTACTATGTCGTCGTCTCATGATTGATGAAAATACGTCTCACGTCTCAATCCGTCGTAATCGTCGTGTTTCCTTTTCTTGGGCTATCCCGGACGAGCCCCCAAGCTGTAGGAATTGAAACCCAGGTTGTATTTCTTCAGCTTTATTTGTATTTACTCCAGGATAAACCACAAAAAATAGGAACGTCTTAGAACCGTCTTAATACTAATCGTCTTCTGTTTAAATCCCGTCGTTCTTACTTCCTCACTCATTCATTCCGTCTCACTCACTCCCTTGCGTTCCGTTTCACACTCCCACACAAATATAGGAAAAATAAATAAATAAAAAATAATCATACCGCATATTTTGAAATTCGCCACTACTCGCAACGGAATCAAGTAAGTAATTTGATTTTATACGTCATAAATTGTAAACCGCTACGTTTGTACGGCGGAACCCTCGGTGTGCGAGCCCGACTCGCACTTGGCCGGTTTTTTTAAAAGGGACGCGTTATATTTTTCCTGCAACTGACAAAAAGTCGTGGGTGTGAAGCCGCGGGTAAAATCTAGTTCTATTAGGTCCCTCGCCCACAGCACGGTAATACTATCATACAGTATTGTAACTTCATATAAACGGACGAAACGCGAGCTTTCCTTCGAAATTCAAATCTCGGTATGCGCTCGACATGCAAAAGTCGGGGGTGTCGCGAATGTGCCACAGTAATAAACGGACGATGTGTTGTTTTTTAGTGTTTTTGAAAAATAAATACAAGTACCTATTTATACAGGGTATTAGGTAAATGGGTTTATAAGCCGACACTAGCCCATGTTAACATTTATGCATGTAAATGGTATGGTGAAGTCAGTGATATCATTTCTTTTTTAAATTTTCATACAAAATAAAATTAATAAAATCGGATTTGTATGAAAATTAAAACTATTAAAATAATGTCAATTTTCTGACTTCACCATACCATTTATATGCATGCACATGTTAACATGGGCTAGTCTTCGCTTATAAACCCATTTACCTAACACCCTGTATAATAATCAAGCATTTTGTACGCCTCAGTTGAGGCGCATACATTTTAAGGTCGCAAAATAAGATTTGTTACTAAATCTTAACACAAATATATTTTTTTAATTACATCTAACTACTAATGACAAAACAACATGTATTTTTATCCTATTTCATTCACAAAGTATTTTGTTTGTCAATATAAAATAAAAAATTACAATCACAAAACTACACTCGACATCAAATAAATCGCACCTCCCGCGACAAGCATTTTCAAACGTATGCATCCCCACTTCCCACCAATATTGGCACCATTTAAAAGTTACCTAGTTCTAACCTTCATTTCATTAAAGGAAAGGTTTTTACCCCAAAAATGTGTCTTTAGAAGGATCCAGAGTCACTTCTTCAAAAAATAGGTAGTTACGCTAAAGCCAACTTTTATGGCTATAAAACTGTTAAGTTGGGATTAATCACTATCCATCTGTTAAAGAGGACACGTGATATCATTATTTGGTTTTATAACCATAAAAATTGGTCTAATTGATCCCATAGGTGGGCCCAAAATGAGGTATTTTTTCTAGTCACATTTATGGTATATGTTAATCATTTATTAAGAAATTATGTGTTTTTCTTTAAGGATCTTTATTGGGCTTTCAAATAACACCAATATTGTTGGGGCACCATGATTGTGACAGAAGAAAATCGTTAAAGTTCGCGTCGCGGAAGGTGCGGTTTATTTGATGTTGAGTATAGATAGAAATTCTAAGTTGGCAGATGTAATGAAAATAGGTTCTGCAGGTGGGCAGTCCTATCGCATGTTGTCATACGGTGACGTACCGCGCGGCTGTTGACATTTATTTCAAAAATATGGCCGAGTTGGAATACTGTATAGATAGTATTACCGTGCCCACAGCGACTTTTAACGTGCGTTAGTCGCATTTGCAACGCACTACAGAAGTGATGCCAATGCGCTACAGCAGCGCGACTGCATCGCTACAAAAAAGTCGCCGTGGGCAAGGGCCCTTAGACCATACAAACCTTCGAATTCGCAGTAAAGCTTCACGTGAGAGGTGTCAGACACATTGAGCTTCAAGGGGCCAGCGGTCTTGGTCACCAGCTTGCCATCGAATCTGAGATCCAGGGTCACAGTCCTGTGGGAACAATTAAAAAAAAAATCATAATTAATTCATAATACTTTATTGCTTCATTTGGTGAGAAGGTCTTAAGCTAATACATACAATAATAATTACCTACAGTGTGTCTGTGCTATAATAAGTGTTTGTAACGTGCATGAGGCAAGCATTTACAAGTCTAGCGCTTAACTCTGTTAGTGCCTGAGGTATGGGAGCGGCACGGGAGGCGTGACATTGACATATTATTATTATGACAGAGCATAATAATATAAATCTCAAGGAGATCTGAAGTCTCGCCGACCTGTCGCTGTCGCGTGTCGCCTAGTGTGCACTTACGTCCGTATTCACAAACATTACTATGAGGTCTCACAGTGCGCGTGGACGCACAGGGTGACACACGAACCAATCACAGAGCTCTATTTAACGTTGCTGCTTCACTTAAGCAAGCATCGTTTGTGAATACTGGCGTTAAAGTTTGACTTTTCGCAAACGTCCTCACCTGTTATCTGTCAGCTCGCCAAGTTTGGCCAGGCAGACGTAGTCGCCGGCGTCAGCGTCGGTGACGTTGCTCAACGTCAACTTGACAGTTTTGCGCTTCCTCGTGTTGCCATCGCGGTCTTTGTCGGGCAACTTCGTTTCGATTGGTACCACTTTCAACCTGATGAGAGAAGTTTAATGAATGTTATTGAGAAGTACAATATGTCAGCCAGTGGGATAAGTTGAAACAGAGATTGATTGCTAACAATAATAACAACATACTATTTTTAATATATTATTTTAAACTTCAATAACATTAGAATTATTATAAAAGAGATTGCTACCATGTCCCTTATTTATGAGCCTCCCATATTATTTCGGCACTGCAACAATGGAGTTACTCTGTGTTCATGGCACTTGGCATATTTTTAGTAAGTACCTACTTTGCAGCAAACAAAATATTTTACTATCCAGAACTTTTTAAATTAAAATGCTTGAAGTCATATTATGGAAAAAATTAAGGTAACTGTAACGGTTAGCGTTACCGCTGATCGTTATCTTAGATCTAAATTCTACTTTAATTACTATTACCTACCTAAATAAATATACTTAAATAATAAAATATCTAAATCTACGTAAACTACTTAACTAAATAACTTAATTAAATAATTCATATTGTTCTACACTAATAAAATAAATAAAATAATAAATCTACAAGCAAACCCGCGCGAAACAAGTCGTTCGAGATTTCTTTTGTTCTCTGTCGAGCGGGCGGGCTGTTTTTTATGCATGCGCAAGCGACGCGCCTACGGCCTCGATGCTCCCGCCGCGTCTCGTAGTCCGAGCCAGAGCGTTATTGAGCACGGACGTATCGCTGTCCGTCACCGCCGGACCCGCGATGTACGTAACTTTATAAAACTCTAAAATGTAATCGCGTATTGGTGAACCCCGCTACCGGGTGAGTGTTGCAAAAGTATTTTTAATGCCTAGATTTTGTACTTGTGCTAAATGTAAGTGCCTAGCCGCCATTTTGTTCTTCAAATGTGCTATCCATGTGCTCGGTGTCATTTCATACTAATTAACTATTTCTATAACCTCCTGATATTATTATTTTACAACTTACTACATGATTAAATAAGTAAACTAAATATTTTATGAAATGACATCGACGCGTCATGACCTTACATGACCTTGGTCGTACTGTAACGACACTAATTTCAATTCTACTTGCTAATTTAAATTGTTTCATCGCATTGTACTTGTTCTAATTATTCTAAATTATTGCCTACCTATATTGTTCTATAAATTAATTGCCTATATAGATGATATTCTAAATAATTGTCTACCTACATAATTTAATATTTTTGCCTACTTCACTTTGCAATCACATTCACTGCACCTATTGTAATTCTGTTTGACTGCCACATCATTACATCACCATTTATTACCAAAATCATTCCATCTGCTTCGCTAGTATTTTGATGTCGCAGTCAAACGGACAAAAGCTTGCAACTGCTTTAGTGTCCGCTTTGATTTGCAGGGTTCATCTCCACCTTCATCTTCTTCTACCTACTACACCATGCATGGTCACCACTGCCGATCCTACCACCTGGCTCTTCAACCCGGCGGAGCTGCCTGCCGTGTCGGACGGCCCGTGCGCACACTCTAAGTGGCCCTACACCACAGTGCGTACGGCCCTAACCGTCTGGCGCGTCGACGACTCTGCGGGCTTACCACCAGCGAAGAACCAACCCACATCACCATCAATGCTAGCGAGGACAGTGGTTTGAATATACTACCACCGGTGACGAATCTCGTGCGATACGATAGTTTGCTCGACAACCCACTCCCTAAGAGTTCTCACTTCTCTAAATTGAAATAAATGACTTGTTAACCTAAACTATCTTTTATTTATCTAACTTCTAATCTAAATTCTATTATGTCACCTGCTCCTAAAGTAACAACCGTGACATAACTTACAGTAAAGTTAGAGAAACTCTGCCTAAGATGAGTCTTGTATAAATTACTATCATGTTTTGAGACAGAGATCGTGATTCCTTTCTCCACCGGCAATGTCTAGTGTGGAGGTCTGTCTTATTGTTTTTGTACTTAAATCTGGCAATTAATATTTGGTTACGCAGATGTACGCAGTTCTATTTTTATTTTTAATTCCCAAATAGTTTTGTCTGCAGGTAGAAAACTGTTTGGTTTCCACATCTCTGTGGTCATTCTTGGCGTTCCTGAACGTCAAGCTTTGACACACTTCACCGTAAAAACTTTAACGCAACGCACATCTTCGCAGTCTCGCGAGTGAAAAAACCGCACTTTTATCTCCCGCAAATCGCATCATAACATAACGCACAACGCATACGCAGCAAACGCATCTCCGCATTCAAAGCCCAAATTGCTCGTGACCTGAACCCCCTGCAGGGGAAGTGAAGCCGATCCATCTTCATCCCGGAGTGTCCCGGTGCCAGCAGTGGTCGAGCTGACGGAAGGGGACCCGAGATTGGCTCAGAGGTTAGTGGGACCAACTATTTCTCCTCTGCAGGCAAAATCATTTGGGAAACGTAATTTGGACTTCCGATTAAGATCCCGCCTGGTGTGGCTATTTACACGCCACACCAATATTTTCATTTTCAGATAAATTACTGACTTAGACTGGGTTCGGCGGGACCTTTGGCAGTTCGATTTTTACAAGTTATTTATAATTTGGTTTGAGATGCAACTCTTTGACGCTAAAAATTAAATAACTAAATTACTGACCGCTTAGGATGTGTAGCGTCGGTAATCGGCTGTCCTTTGAAGAGGAACTCGACCGACGCAGTTTCGGGTGACACGCTGCAGTTGAAGCTCGCATCGCCGCCGATCTCACCCTTCGGCGGAGGCAAATCTATGTCTATGGTTTCTTGAGCTGGAACAATAAACCACCCAAGTTTAAAACTATTAGAAAGCCTTGCATATTGCATCTTGAAGATAGTTGAAATTNATATTCTCAGTTATATTACTCCAAAACTATTAAATTTCGGATTTTTTTTAATATCACGTGAGATTTGGGGGTGGGGGAGGGGGTCAGGCAAAATCTCACCAAATCTCACCAAGGGGGGCGGGGGGGTTGAAAAATAGCCAAAATTGTCTCACGTAATTTATGGACGCCCCCTTATGGAAAAAATTAAGGTTTATGGTGGTACTGACTGTAAGTTACAGGAACTACTTTAAGATGTGAGTCTTGTATAAATAACTATGATGTTTTGAGACAGAGATCGTGATTCCTTTCTCCACAGGACAGGCAATGCCTAGTGTGGAGGTCTGTCTTATTGTTTTTGTACTAAAATTTGGCAATAAATATTTTCATTTTCAATAAATTACTGACTTCGACTGAGTTCGATTCCCGCCTTAGGCAGTTCGATTTTTTCAAGTTATTTATAATTTGGTTTGAGATGCAACTCTTTGACGATTATCACACTGCACAGCGCTCCGCCGCGGTCCGCGTGGCTACATATAAAGAATCCCGCGCGCAGACGCGTTGTCAGTGTGTTGTGCCGCGCGTGTTTTCTATACAAATTGATGTACTTGCATACAATGATTAAATCTGTCGTTCCGCGTACCGCGGCGGAGCGCGGTGCAGTGTGATAATTGCCTTTGACGCTAAAAATTAAATAACTAAATTACTGACCGCTTAGGATGTGTAGCGTCGGTGATCGGCTGCCCCTTGAAGAGGAACTCGACCGACGCAGTTTCGGGTGACACGCTGCAGTTGAAGCTCGCATCGCCGCCGATCTCACCCTTCGGCGGAGGCAAATCTATGTCTATGGTTTCTTGAGCTGGAACAATAAACCACCCAAGTTTAAAACTATTAGAAAGCCTTGCATATTGCATCTTGAAGATAGTTGAAATTAATTTCTATACCAATGTAGTGACACTATTGGTGTAATAATCCCTACTAAAATAATAAATGCGAAAGTAACCCTGTCTGTCTGTCTGTGTTGCTTTCAAGCCTGACCTGAACCTATTTTGATGAAATTTGGCATAGAGATAGTTTGAGTCCCAGGAAAGGACATAGGATAGTTTTTATTCCGGTTTTTGACAAAAAAAAGTTTCACGCGGGCGAACACGCGGGCGGAAAGTTAGTAGAGTCCTAGAGGAGTTTTTGTTAATAGTATCTTGATTGATGGTAAAGCTTTACATTTTTTAAAGATAATGACTTCAAATTTTACAAAATTGTCTATTCCTTATTAGTAGTACTTAATCAATCGTCTGTATATGGAGTCACACTAATACTATAAAGGCGCAAGAATGTGAGTGTGTATGTTTGTTACTTCTCCACATGGAGCAATTTTAATAAAATTTGGTATGGAGTTAGCTGACACCCTGGATTAACACATAGGCTATGTTTTACCACGAGGCATAGCTAGTTGATTATATTCTTGGAAATATTTTCATCAGGTAGGAAATGTAAGAAAACTATCTACCTACAACTGCAACTGATGGCCAATACTCATTTTTCATTTTATTAAACTTCCTTACATTCCCAGGCTTCAAATAGCACATTTATGTAGCATTGTTTAACAACTTTATTAACAAAACAGGAATATAGTTATGTGTCATTGAGCAATTAAGATAACATTATGTTATGGTTTGCCTGTATCATATTCAGAACAATGTATGGGGCACATGAAGCTAAGAGCCATAGTCATAGATGCTATTTTGCAATGGCAATGTGTAGGATGATGTGCTGGGGATGGTATGTAAAGATATACATATAAAGGGTTATAACTAAAATAATGTCATTACTATTTAAAATTAATTAATTTTTTGACATAATTTTATTGTAATCGATGTGGTGACTAAACATGTAAGCGCTTTGGGTTTTCTGTAAGCTTATTATGATGCTCATTAAATAAATAAAAATTTGGACTAAAAAATTATTTTACACTGGGTTTGGAAACTGGGAAACATGGGTCTCAAATGCAACATTTCTAATGTGAGTTGAAGTAACATGAGCACTACAAACTTTTTTAATGTTCCAACACAACTGCTTTGGGAAAATATTGTTTGCTAGTGGTGAGAAATTGCGTAAGACTCAGTCCCAACTTACAATATCTTTTTTCAGCAAATCCTAACTACTTATTATATTAAACTTAAAATTAATTAGTTTTGTTATCAGTTAAAAAAATCAATTACATCAATAAATATTGAGGGACAAAAGAAGTGGTGATAATAACAGATGTTATAAACAATATCAATAATTCTTAGCATTTATTGACATTAATTATCAATTATTTTTAGACTTGTTTTTTATTTATAAAACCCACCTAATTAGCAAATTGTGTGATAATTTCAAAGATAAGGATGATTATCTGTGAAGCTATCATAAAATGTAATACATAGTAAATATTTATTTTGTTAGCAGCAACTATAAACTAACATTAGACAGAATACCTACCTACTAGGCCATTATAATATTAGCTGACCACTGAAATTAGTTATTTCCTTAATACGTAATTCAATAGATAATACTCAATATTGCAGGTCACAGTGCAATAACCAATAGTTTATTGGATTGTTAGTGATAAAATTAACATATTTATGAACTACATAAACTAAAGTTTATAATATCTTGAACATAAGATGTTTATAAAGCAAGAAGAATGAGTTCTTTCAGAACACTAGTTACTAAGGTGAGAAGAGATAGTAAAAGTATTATTTACTAACAACATAATACAAACAAAAGTACTTATTCCTTGACTGTTTTTATTTAGGAAACATTCATACTGACTCTTATTGCTAAGTAACTACAGTGGTGTGCCTACAACTCATCTTACAAACATTTTTGTGATAATACAAATCCCTAAAAGTCGACATTATGATAATTGTATGAGTCAGATAGAAAAACTTCATTCAGGGACTGAAACATCAGCACGCCCCCCGTAAATTTACAGGAAACATCAATTTAGCAAATGCGCTCTACAAAAATTATGGACAGGCTGTCGTTTTCGCAGAAATAACATACCAAGATGAAAAACTCCGATAGCTTTAGCACAAACGTTATAAAATATACTATTACTCACCTAAAACTGGATAACACAACGCAATACATGCAAAATATAGACCAAATGTCGCCGAAGACTTCCTGATGTTGCGACCCATTGTCATGGCGGAAACAACAGTTTTTCACGAATAATATCCGTAAAGGTGCGATAATAAACACATCTCACAGATATTAGACCATTTTCAATTCATTTGCACGGCGATAGCACTGATATTTTCTAAAATTAAAACAAAGTTAGAGATTGACACCCGACTGAAGCCGAACAAACAATCCCACTGGGGAGTGTTGCAATTAGTAAAATTACTTTTACCACTCAACGTCCGCAACAACACGTTCGTCCTCATTTATTTTTATTTCAACTCCGTTAATATCACCCTATCACCATAACTCGTTGTTTCAGCAGCTCATGTGCCAATAATTATTAGTGTAAATAACAACTTTCAATTATTTTCTATTTAATCATGGTGATAAATAATATTATTATAATAATAAACTTTGTATACAACAGCACAACAAAAATAAACGCTTGTAAAAAATAACGATAAAGACGTTGCCGCTTATAAATGTAAGTATCTAAGGTTTTACTTTACCCTACAGGCTACACAAACGATCAACAAAAACTATTGTGTCAACATTCAACAAAATTGCCTTTAAAAATGTTTATTGATTACAATTGAAAGAATCTACCAACAACACATCTTTACATATACAAGTAATGCATGTAATGATGACAAGACCAATTGATTATGTAGGGCAAAACACACATTGGAGACCCGGGTTTAATCGGGATCATTCTTTTTACACTGAAGCAGGCCTGGCTCACTCCGCGCGGTACATCCGATATTTACCTACAGCGAAGCGCCCCGCCGGCGGGTATTATATCAGTCGAGTGTCACGCGCGCGCCCCTCAGGACGCTGGCGTGCGTTGTAGTATGATTATAATTCTATGATCGAAGTATTATTTAAAAATGGACATAAAGAGAAATAAATATTGTGCGGCGTTCGGGTGTTAAAATTCGAAAAGAAATCTACCGGATTTATCTTTTTTTTTCGCTTCCCAAAGNTATTTTCATTGAATAATGTTTCCGACAAAGGTTGTCAAATTGACTGACATGTTTATCGCATAGTACAGTCCACTATATATATAATAATAAACTTTGTATACAATAGCAGCACAACAAAAATAAAAGCCTTTAAAAAATAACGATAAAAACGTTGCCGCTTATAAATGTAAGTATTATATCTAAGGTTTTACTTTACCCTACAGGCTACACAAACAATCAACAAAAACAATTGTGTCAACATTCAACAAAATTGCCTTTAAAATGTTTATTGATTATTAATTATTTATTGACAAAGATCTACCAACAACACATCTTTACATAAACAAGTAATGCATGCAATGATGACAAGACCGATTGATTATGTAGGGCAAAACACACACTGGAGACCCGGGTTTAATCGGGATCATTTTTTCTTACACTGAAGTATGTAAGTCTGATCAGATCCTTGTTATTAAGATTCTGAAGCAGTACCCGGACGCCGCAACATTAAAGCGCTATGTCAACAAGCAAATTACAAAAACATTATTAATTTTTACTTCATCTTTTTTGCTCATTTTACACACGGAACCCTAAAAAGAGGGTAATTGCTCCTTTTTCTAGCAATACTAAGTAATACATAGACAATGTAGCAAGTTGCCATTAGACTGCTCAAGACCGCTGTCCATTTGGTCATAAATTGGAATTATTGTTTGTTCTCCATAATTCAAACTCCAATTGCATTAGCTTTTTTGTACCACGCTCTTGTTATTGAATTTAAATGAAGAATCTAAGGAGGAATCGGTTGTCAGTCAGTCATCATATTAAATGATTTGATTTTCTTACCAAGTGGGTTTGCGACGAATAATATTTAGTATGGATGTGTTTATTTTCTTGTGGCAACATTATTTGTTTATTGACAAGTGAAATGACAGACGGCGGGGTCTATCAATGGCAGCTAACGAAACAATTTACAGTAATTAATGACTCGTTTTAAAGATTATATCCGTTTTTGTTGATAATACAAGTGAAAATGTGGTTCAAGAACTCTGTATAAAGCATTAACGCGCGTTTCTAACGCGTGTGTCGCGGTAAAAAATGTATTTTTCGTACTCATTAGGAGCCATTTTTATTGTATTTATTTTATGCGTTCATTGTGTAAATGCAGGAAATGACAACGAAATTAGGGAAATTTATGGTGAGTTGAACAGATTTTACTAAGATAATGAGTAGATTAAGTAGGTATTGTAATCCGGTAATGTTGTTTTTTGAATGCTTTACGATTCACGCGCTCCACAACCCCGTAAGTTCATCTGTCAAGCTTGTGGTGAAGACCGAGGCGTGGACCAGGTTCCAACATCCTGAGCTTCTGGTTGATTTTGAACTGGTTTTAATTATCTCTTCGTTTTGTGTAATGTAGTCTGAATTGAGAATTTCTGTGGCAATCCAATGCATTGTACTGGAATGATGCCTAATTATTTTTCACCAAAAAGTTTCAACAATAATAAAACATAGGTGTGAGTTTATTCTTATTGGAAGTAGATTATTGAGTGAAATGTATCAGGCACTAAAGAGGATCATAATCTAAATGTTGCTATGATCTACCTTTTAGAAACGGGATGAGTCATCTAATGTACTGTTTGTTTATTGCAGTTCAACAGATTAGACTCTAAGAGGGTGATTTTAAAAGGTTTCTTAAGTTTTTCTATCATAAAAACAGTGATTAAGAGGCAAAGTATTCAGAAACATCAAAAGTCCACTATAGATGCCATGGGAATTGTATGTAAATCTTTATGAGATAATGCTTATGTATGTAAATAGTATAAGACTGGAGATTAGTCTGATTTCCAAATTGGAATTCAACCGAGCACAGGCATAAACCATTGTTTGAGTTTGAATTAAGTTTGAGCTTAATTACAGATTTCAGACTTAAAAAAGAAATAAATTAGACATTTGAAATACTTTTTTCCTGTGGTTAAGTAAAGCACTTAAGAACAGTCTTATTTTCCTTTGAGTAGATATTATTTATGTAGAATGTTTTTTATAAAAAATCTTGAATTAAAATATTAATCAATTAGAGCTCATCATTGTGGAACTTTTTATTTTTTTATAAATCCAGTTATTCATTAATCAATAACAATCTGTAGGAAGTTGATTTAATTATTAATTAAACAATTAATTTAAAATTCCAATTGATTGTTGTACTTTTTGTATTACATGACATGATGTAGTTAAAATTATAAATTGTTTTGTGAAACAATAAATTACTTTTCTTTAAGATTTATTATTGTTGACAATTTATGGGATTTCACTGTTTAATTATGTTAAAGTTAAAATTAATGATTGAAATTACATAAAATATGTAGTTTATTCAGTACATGGCCCTTTCCAGGGCACTTACACACGTCCCAACATGATTATGTATCATATACTTCATTTTTCAAAAGATTTATATTGTAACTTCCCTACCCAAGGAATACTTAGCACTGAGGTTTTGGTTTTGTGTCCAAGTAAGCGCTGTAATAATTGGACATATACTCCAGATGGAAAGTACTTGGTAGGTTCACAGTCATGGATAATTAGTTTTTCCTTGTAAAATATAAATGAGTACATCTTTGCAGACAGATACAAACTTTTCTTTTATTGTGTGTTGTGTATATCTTTATGTATATTTTAAGAAATTCTGCTTTATCTAAACAATTGCCGTTTTAACAAAGTTTTTGATGTGAAACTTAATGAGATAATTTTTTATTTAAGAAAGGTATGTTACACCAAAACACATTAAGATAATTTGCAGTATTATTAGGGTTTTAGATTAAATACATAATATGTTCTCCAATTACAGGTCAGGTACACACAATTTCCATAATGTTGCAGTTGAATATTAATAATATGTAATATTATAAGATTAAAGAGTTGTAAATTTAATAGTCTTAAGGGTTGTAATTCCATGAGATCAAGAGGTCATGGATGACTTGACTCTTTTAGCATTGAATAAACGACGTTGAAACGCGACCGCAAGATTATTGCAGTTATTTCCTCGAACGAAGCTGTTGTTTTCTTTTCGTAATAATATGTAGGTCAATTAAACTCTCGGTCTCATTCTTAAGATTTCTGATGGGTTTCAGATAAGAGGTCCGTGGGGCTACTCCGAAAAACGTTATCCAAAGTTTCGAATGTTGCCATCTGCATCCCTCTTACGCAAAGCCAGCCTGAGCGACGCGACGGTGGAAGACCCGAAACTAAACTGCNTTTGTGTTTATTTGTTGTACTCCTTATTTTTTAGTACCTAGAAACTAAAGTCCATTCAGCGTAAGATGGTGATTATGACAGTTCTATTTAGTGAGGCGCTCCTTATAAAGTTAATCGATATTTTTTAGAATCGAGAATATTTTCTATAGAAATCTAATCGCCTTTTATTTGTTTGATTTTTAATCTTGATCAAAATAATATCTATGAATTTGAACTATCTGGAAATGGAATAAACGTGAATATTCTTAGTGGTAGTAGTATATCAGAAAGAATTAAATATATGCATTTTATTCAATAATACATCAAAATAACAATAACAAACAATACGTGGAGAAATCGCATAAAACAAAACCGTCATCAAAGGCAAACGCACACGTACTGACTTAGCTTTGACCTGCCTGAGATAATAATCGTGATTCGAGGGTAAGATGACCACCATGCCGATTACTGATTTATTGCGATTGTTTATGTTCCATCCCTATGAGCAAAGGTTTCCGACTAAACTAACGCAGAAGCAATTCATTTAATATTTTTTCACAATTTTTTCTAAATAAAAAATTATAAATAATTAGAAATAACTTGTTTAGGTTAATTGAGAAAGATTAGTGATTGATATTTTGGAAGGATGAAAACACACAAAAGTAATTGATTTTTACAACTCAATATTTTTATTCATAGAAAGTTAGAATCTTAAAACGAAACGTTTTATCTGTCTAAATCACCATCATAAGTTGAATGAACTATAATAAAACACCGATTTTATCGATAAAAAGCGTTGAATTTTCGTACTCGTAACACCCGAAACAGAACCACTGTAACACCCGAAACAAAGAAAAAATTTATAAAAAAATAGTAAAACGTTTTATGTAACAGTGATTGTATATTACATGGTTTGTAAATTTCATACTTTAGAAGTCCTATAAGTTTTAGGTATGATTCCTTAAGAAAATTCGCTAAATTTCGAGTAAATGCAGCAACAGTCAGAACATAGAGGCAAAATCTCGTAACGCCCGAAACGCACACTTTTCGACTCATATTTTCGTTATCCTACATTTTAAGCTGTACAAACTTTATTATTTAGATAAAACAAATAAAAACGGACAGATTAAGGCACTAACATTATTAAAATACTATTTCAAAATACATGAAATTGTTGAATATGTGTGTACGAACGTAACACCCGAAACGATGGAATGACCCTTGTGGAACTTTTTGTTTATTACTTAAAAAATATAAATCCAGTTATTCATTAATCAATAACAATCTGTAGGAAGTTGATTTAATTATTAATTAAACAATTAATTTAAAATTCCAATTGATTGTTGTACTTTTTGTATTACATGACATGATGCAGTTAAAATTATAATTTGTTTTGTGAAATGATCTGTTTTCATATATTACTTTTCTTTAAGATTTATTATTGTTGAAGATTTATGGGATTTCACTGTTTAATTATGTTAAAGTTAAAATTAATGATTGAAATTACGTAAAATATGTAGTTTATTCAGTACATGGCCCTTTCCAGGGCACTTACACACGTCCCAACATGATTATGTATCATATACTTCATTTTTCAAAAGATTTATATTGTAACTTCCCTACCCAAGGAATACTCAGCACTGAGGTTTTGGTTTTGTGTCCAAGTAAGTGCTGTAATAATTGGACATATACTCCAGATGGAAAGTACTTGGTAGGTTCACAGTCATGGATAATTAGTTTTTCCTTGTAAAATATAAATAAGTACATCTTTGCAGACAGATACAAACTTTTCTTTTATTATGTGTTGTGTAATATATCTTTATGTATATTTTAAGAAATTCTGCTTTATCTAAACAATTGCCATTTTAACAAAGTTTTTAATGTGAAACTTAACAAAAAAGATGAGATAATTTTTTATTTTATATTTACTAAGAAAGGTATGTCACACCAAAACACATTAAGATAATTTGCAGTATTATTAGGGTTTTAGATTAAATCCCAACTAATATTATAAATGCGAAAGTAACTCTGTCTGTCTGTCTGTCTGTTACGCTTTCCCGCTTAAACCTCGCAACCGATTTTGATGAAATTTGGCATAGAGATAGTTTGAGTCCCGGGAAAGAACATAGGATAGTTTTTATCCCGGTTTTTGAAACAGGGACGCGCGCGATAAAGTTTTTCTGTGACAGACAAAATTCCACGCGGGCGAAGTCGCGGGCGGAAAGCTAGTACATAATATGTTCTCCAATTACAGGTCAGGTACACACAATTTCCATAATATTGCAGTCGAATATTAATAATAATATGTAATATAATAAGATTAAAGAGTTGTAAATTTAATAGTCTTAAGGGTTGTAATTCCATGAGATCAAGAGGTCATGGATGACTTGAGTCTTTTAGCATTGAATAAACGACGTTGAAACGCGACCGCAAGATTATTGCAGTTATTTCCTCGAACGAAGTTGTTGTTTTCTTTTCGTAATAATATGTAGGTCAATTGAACTCTGGTCTCATTCTTAAGATTTCTGATGAGTTTCAGATAAGAGGTCCGTGGGGCTACTCCGAAAAACGTAATCCAAAGTTTCGAATGTTGCCATCTGCATCCCTCTCATGCAAAGCGAAATGCCAGCGTGAGCGACGCGACGGTGGAAGACTCGAAACTAAACTGCGTTTTGTAGTCAATACGCCAATCAAAACTCGTTTCATTCTTGTCCCTAGGATTATAATAATAATTCTTGTACAGAACACTGAGCCTCGATATTTGGGAATTGAGTTGCTTTGCTAATAAAAATCTTTTAACCACCAAGCTTACTCGACGATTCCGCCCGCATGGAACCAATCGCTGTTAGTGTTGATAGACAGAAACGACATCCACTTTAACTTGACCTCGTTCTCAGATGACCGCGCTTATTACGGAGAAGTCAAGTGCCCCTTAGCCTCCTCTCAGCTTAGATTGATAAAGCATGG